GGATTCTAGTCCTGGTCGGGGCGCCGGATTCTGTCCCGGTTGCCCCTCTTCCAGGCCAGCTCTCTGCTGTGGCCAGGGAGTGCAGTGGAGGATGGCCCAAGTGCTTGGGCCCTGCACCCCATGGGAGACCAGGAGAAGCACCTGGCTCCTGCCTTCGGATCAGTGTGGTGCACCGGCCGCGGCGGCCATTGGAGGGTGAACCAACAGCAAAGGAAGACCTTTCTCTCTGTCTCTCTCTCTCACTGTCCACTCTGCCTGTCAAAAAATAAAGAAAGATTCATTTATTTATTTGAAAGAGACAGAGACAGAGATGTTCCTTCCATTGGTTCACTCCCCAAGTGGCCACAACAGCGGGAGCTGGGCCAACCTGAAGCCAGGAGCTTCTTCCAGGTCTCCTAAGTTGGTGCAGGGGTCTAAGTACTTGGGCCACCCTCCACTGCTTCCCCAGGTGCATTAGCAAGGAGCTAGATTGGAAGTGGAGCAGCCAAGACTTGAACCAGTGCTCATATGCGATGCTGGTACTGCAGGCAGCAACTTTACCTGCCATGCTGTGGCACTGGCCCCCAGCATGATTGTTAAACTGGGATTAATAATCGCAGAAAAGAGGCCAGTGCTGTGGCGTAGCGGGTAAAGCTACCGCCTGCAGTGCTGGCATCCCATATGGGTGCCGGTTCTAGTCCCAGCTGCTCCACTTCTGATCTAGCTCTCTGCTATGGCCTAGGAAAGCAGTAGAAGATGGCCCCAGTCCCTGGGCCCCTGCACCCACGTGGGAGACCCAGAAGAAGCTCCTGGCTCCTGGCTTCGGATCAGTGTAGCTCTGGCCGTAGCAGCCATCTGGGGAGTGAACCAGCGGATGGAAGACCCCCCCCAACCTCCACCCCACCTCTGCCTCTCTGTAACTCTGCCTTCAATAAATAAATAAATTTTTTAAAAAATCAGAAAAACATTTTAGTTCTTTTTTAAAAAAGTATTTTTTTTTATTTATTTGAGAGGTAGAGTTACAGACAGAGGAAGAGACAGAGAGAAAGGTCTTCCATCTGCTGATCCACTCCCCAAATGGCCTCAATGGCTGGAGCTGGGGCTATCCGAAGCCAGGAGCCAGGAGCTTTGAGCTTCTTCTGGGTCTCCCACATGGATGCAAGTGTCCAAGTGGCGGTCTTCCACTGCTTTTTCCCAGGCCTTAGCAGAGAGCTAGATCAGAAGAAGAGCAGCTGGGACTAGAACTGGTACCTGTATGGGATGCTGGCACTGCAGGTGGAGGATTAATCTACTGTACCACAGCACTGGCCTGCTTAGTTCTCTTTATACACACACACACACAACAATACTTCAAAAAGTTTGTGGAAAATGGAGTTAAAAGATAAATTTAGGGCAGACATTTGGTTCAGCAATTAAGATGCCATTTGGGAGTGCCTGGGATCAAGTTGCAGTTCCATTCCCACTCTCAGCTTCCTGATGGTGCATACCCACGGAGAAAGCAGGTGACCGCTCAAGTAATGGGGTCCCTGCCCCATAATGGGAGACTCAGATTGTGTTCCAGTCTCCTGGCTTCAAGCAGGCCCAGCCCTACCATGGCTACTGCAGGCATTTGGAGACTGAATCAGCAACTGGAAGATCTCTCTCTGTGTCTATTTCTTTCTCTCTACTTTTCAAATAAATTAATGATTTTTTTAATAAAGTTTTAGTTTGTGAAAAAAACTTAAAATCCATAAGATTTCATAATGCACATTTTCCATGAACTTTTGAACACTCTCCATGTATGTATGTGTGTACATATATTTATAATAGATATACATGCATATATATACACATGTATTACCCCTGAAAATACTCATAATAATAAAAATTAACATAAACATCAAATCTTTGGAAATAGGCATACAAAAAGGAAATAAATCTTATTCAGGCTGTGTTTTCCACTGCCTTGATTAGTTTCCACAGGAATCTGTACCCATGGCAAAACAGCTGATTTTGTTGTTGTAAACCTATTTAATAAAGAAAGCTACAGGAGGGTAGCAGAAGGGTGGAGAAAGGAAGACTATGGCATTGCAAATGGAGGCAAGGGAAGGCATGGCGAGTAACATTTATTAAAACTTTGCAAAGCTGTATATGTAGAGATACATGTACTAAGACATGAAAGGTACATAGGAAATGAAATTATTTTAGGTCAGAAACACCCTTAAAGTTTAGTCCAGTGTTCCAGTTAACCCTGGACAATCTCAACAGACCTTTGGCTGAACTGTGGAGCAGAGTCTGTGAACAAGGTGTGCAAAGCAGGATCCCACATGTTTGCTCCATAAGATGCCAGTAAATGAGTCATCTCTTCTATAGCAGGCTGGCTTAGCTAGCTCCCCTCCAACTGCCTGGATTGTTGCAATCACTTAGTCACCAACCTTAGGGTAGAGGGCATGAAACCACTGGATAATACTTAGCTTTTAAATCTGCAAACGTGTCTTCTGATACACCAGATTATGTCCAGAAAATAGTTGGAACACTTTTCAACAGCAATCCAGGGCTGCCTGCACAGCCTTCTTGGCACCACTGTCTTTTCCAGAGCACAGACTTCCCACACTTCAGCACACCACTTACCTGATCAGAATCACTCCCCAAGGTCGGGATCCTGAATGCGCACCCTCTCCTGTTCCCTTTCCACATCAGAGCTCAGATTAGCTATGCGATCGCGCACATTTGAGTGAGCAAGATTGACCACCTAGGGCCCTTCCTTTCTTCTTTTCCTCCATCCCTCCAACTTTCCTTTTTCCTTTCCTTTCTTTCTTATATATATGAAGTGTTTTTTTGTTTTTTTGGTTTTTTTTGGACAGGCAGAGTGGACAGTGAGAGAGAGACAGAGAGAAAGGTCTTCCTTTTTCATTGGTTCACCCCCCAATGGGCACTGCAGCTGGCACACCGCGCTGATCCGATGGCAGGAGCCAGGTACTTCTGATCTCCCATGGGGTGCAGGGCCCAAGCACTTGGGCCATCCTCCACTGCACTCCCTGGCCACAGCAGAGAGCTGGCCTGGAAGAGGGGCAACCGGGACAGAATCCGGTGCCCCGACCAGGACTAGAATCCGGGGTGCCGGCGCTGCAGGCGGAGGAGTAGCCTAGTGAGCCACAGCGCCGGCCTGAAGTATTATTTTTTAAAAAGATGTAATTTCACCATGGAGACACAACAGTTACTGACAATCTCATATATTCCATTCAGACTTTTTCTTAACCCGATTATGTCTGGATAGTTCCATATCTGTCTAATGTGTGCTGCATTCTAGCTAGCACAGTGCTATCCAGGTGCAGCTCGACACCTCTTCCCCCAAAAAAGAAGCATAAAGAAAAGCCAGTAAGTGACAGTGAGTTATTCTAAAAATAAGGTTGAATTTCTCCTTCTGTAGCTTTTTAAACTTACATACTTTAATGCTTTAACTCCTGAGTTGTAAGATAGTCATACCTAGTTCATATATAGTTGGGAAATAGAAAGAAATCTATTTGTCCTGAAAAGTGAACTACTCATATCTTTTATCCATTATAAGATGTCTAAAATAGCAGGAAGGAACACATATATGATAGTCTTCATAATTATTTTCGTCACTACGTAACATCCCATTTTGTTGGATGGTTAGGTTTCTTTCTTTTGAAGATTGATTTTATTTATTTGAAAGGCAGAGTTGGGGGGGGGGGGACAAGGAGATCATCCATCCACTAATTCACTCCCCAAATGGCCACAACAGCCAGGGCTGGGCCAGGCTGAAACCACAAGCCAGGAGCTTCCTCCAGGTCTCCCACTTAGGTGCAAGAGCCCAAGCATCTGGGCCATCTTCCACTGTTTTCCCAGGCACACCAGCAAGGGAGGTAGATAGAAAGTGGAGCAGCCAGGACTCAAACCAGTGCCAGTATGGAATGCCAGCATCATAAGTGGCTGCTTTACCCACTATGCCACAATGCCACCTCCATGTTAGATTTCTTTCTTTATCTTCTATGTGTAAACATGCAGTCATGTTTTCAAGCATACAGGGTTCTTATTTTAATTTTATATTTAGATACAATTCACCAGATTTGTTTCTATATTTCCTTTTTTTTAAGATTTATTTATTTATTTGAAAGTCAGAGTTACACAGAGAAAGAAGGGGAAGCAGAGAGAGAGAGAGAGAGAGAGAGAGAGAGAGAGGACTTCCGTCCACTGATTCACTCCCCAGTCAGCCACGATAGCCAGAGCTGCGCCGATCCAAAGCCAGGAGCCAGTAGATTCTTCCAGGTCTCCCACACGTGTGCAGGGGCTCAAGGACTTGGGCCATCTTCTACTGTTTTCCCAGGCCAAGGCAGAAAGTTGGATCAGAAATGGAGCAGCCAGACTCGAACCAGTGCCCATATGGGATGCCGGCACTACAGGCAACGGCTTTACCTGCTACACCACAGCGCCAGCCTCTCTTACATTTCTTTTTCTTTTTTTAAAGATTTATTTATTTATTTCAAAATCAGAGTTACACAGAGAGAGAAGGAGAAACAGAAAGAGAGAGGTCTCCAGTCTACTGGTTCACTTCTCAGCTGGCTGCAATGGCAAAAGCTGCACCAATCCGAAACCAGGAGCCAGGAGTTTCTTCCAGGTCTCCCATGCGGGTGCAGGGGCCCAAGGACTTGGGTCATCTTCTACTGCTTTCCCAGGCCATAGCAGAGAGCTGGATCAGAAGTGGAGCAGCTAGGACTCGAACTGGCGCCCCTATGGGATGCCAGCACTACAGGCAGCGGCTTTACCTGCTGTTCCACAGCGCCAGTCCCCCATCTTAAATTTCTTTAGAGTAGTTTCCTAAAACTGGAATTTTTAATCAAAGAAACTTTTTCTTGATACACATTAGAAATGCAATTTAAAAAACCCTAAAAGTTTTTGCTTTTTGATTTAAGATTTTAATAGCCCTTTACAGAAAATCAAATGATCAACATTATAACATTAGACAGACCCTAGAAATAAGTACTTTGTAGTTTTTATTATGGTAAAAATATATATAACAAAAATTTACCATAACCATTTTTAAGGGTACAAGTTAGCACAGGGGTACTTTAAAAAGTTCAAGGAAAAATTGAATTAACAGATAAGGGGGTTCTTTTGGTGCAGGTTTATTTTAAGTCCATGAAGGTATTTCCCGTACTTTTTGAAGTACCCTAATATTATTAAATATGCTTCATTGTTGGGCAACCATCTCCAGAAAGCAGCTTAACTCTTAGAAAAGCAGGTGGTCCAGAGGTGGGTGTTCGGCGTATGAGTTGAGACACCACTCAGGATGCCCACATGATGTTGGAGTACCTAGATTCAGATCCAGGCTCTGCTCCCAATTCCAGCATTTCTGTTCATGTGCACCCTAGAAGGTAGCAGTGGTGACTCAAGTATCTGGGTTCCTGTCATCTACTTGGGAGACCTGCATTGAGTTCCCGGCTGCCAGGCATTTGGGGTATGAATTCAAGTTCACTTGCTCTGAGTGTGCGTGTGTGTGTGTGTGTATGTCTGTCATTCAAATAAATATGCAGTTTTTTTAAGATGTTTATTTTGAAAGAGTTACATAGAGAAAGGTGGGTATTCCATCCACTGGTTCACTCCCCAAATAGCTGCAACGGCCAGGGCTGGGAAGCCAAAGCCAGGAGCCAAAAGCTTCTTCCGTGTCTCCCATATGTGTAGGGTGACCCAAACACTTGAGCCATCTTCTACTGATTTTCCCAGGCCATCAGCAGGGAGCTGGATTGGAAGCAGAGCAGCCAGGACTGGAACCGTTGCCTGTATGGGCTGCCAGTATCACAGGCGGCAAACCTACTATACCACAATGCTAGCCCCTAAATATGCATTTTAAAAGAAAGTAAGAGTAATTTGGCTAAAATGTGAGGGAAGTAGAAAGAATCTAAGAAAATGAATTTATTCTTTGGCATAAAAAGTTAGCTTTAGAACTAGGCACCCACGGTGCTGTGGCATAGTAGATAAAGCCACCACTTGCAATGCCAGCATCCCATATGTGTGCCGGTTAGAGTCCTGGCTGCTCTACTTCCAATCCAGCTCTCTGCTATGGCCTGGGAAAGCAGTACAAGATGGCCCAAGTACTTGGGCCCCTGCACCCATGTGGGAGACCCAGAAGAAGCTCCTGGCTTCGGATCGGCGCAGCTCTGGCTGTTGTGGCCAATTGGGGGAGCGAACCAGTGGATGGAAGACTTTCTCTCTCTCTGCCTCTCCTTCTGTCGCTCCCCCATTCGCGGAGGAACGACACTAAACCCTGCGCTGTTCTTTTGTCTGCTCGGCCCTTCCCGGGTTTGCTGCTGGTCCTTCCCGGGTTGGCTGCCAGCCCCTCCACCTCTGTGGAGGGGCGGCACCCCCTGCCACTTTCCCCCGCGGAGGAGCGGCACACTGCCGGCTGGCTCTCTCAGGGGCTGCTCAGGTGTTCCTTCAGATGTTCCTGGTGCATGTTGTCTCTCTCCTCCTTTATAGTCCTCTTCCACCAGTCCCAACTCTGCTGCCCACACACCGAGCACACTGTTCTCCTCCAATCAGGAGCAGGATCAGCTCCTGCAGCTTATCAAACTGATGAGGCAGCTGCGTAGAGGTTGTTTGGTCTCTCTCTCAGCGCCATATTATGGGAGAGCAGATGCATAGAATAAGTCTTAATTCCAGTAACTTAGTCTAGTCTCAGTTGCTCCCCACACCTTCTCTCTGTGTGTAACTTTGACTTTCAAATAAATAAATAAATAAATCTTTAAAAAAATAAACTAGGCACCCAGTTTAAAAGTGAGATATACCAGAGAGACATGAGTATAACATTCTTTCATTACAAATGCAGCTGTACAGACCTCACACAGCTGCATTCTGTATAGATAAAAATGTAAATGAAAAGTATAAAGATAAATACATGTTAGTACATATGTTATACTGAATAAAAAGATACATCTATTATCTCACAGCTAGGAATCAACAAGCTTTCATGTTTTATTGTTTTAGTTTTTTGTTATTGACTTTAAAAAGTAGCCACTATGTTCACAGCGTGACTTTTATTTCTTTCTCTGTGTTTATCTACTATTTTTTTTCATTTTTACAATGAATATGTTTTGCTTGCATAATGAAAAACAAATACCTATATCCACAAACTTGCACAGTCTGAAACCCCAACAGTATATACAAGGATGCTCCCAAAAGTTCATGGAAAATGAAATTAAAAGGTAAGCTTATTTCTCAGGAAAAAAATTTGAAATCCATGCATAATTTTCCTAATACACATTTTTGTGAATTTATTGAAGACCTCTTATATTACCTTTCAGTTACAGTGTGTTTCTTGGAGACTTCATTTACACCATTGTAATCATGCTACCCATGTATCATTGATTCCTCTTTAAACTTCAAGATTCATGGCCTTATAATTGTCTTTTATCTAGTGTGAAAGGCTCCTTCAAGTTCCAGCCTACCAGTGCTATATTTAGATTCTCGGAATGACAGGATTCTCATGCTAAGTAATCTATCTGGAGAGAGCAGGAGGCTTGCCCTTCTAGGAAAACCCCTAGGCCCTACAGGAGGGCCCTTTCTAGCAATACTGACACATTAGACTGATCTTCTTGACCCACGCAGCCTTGTAGGTGTTGGGCCTTAACTAACTGTACCCTTAAATCTTACTTATTGAAAATACTACTGTTTTTCCTATAGTACTTTGCCTAATTCTCTGCATCTTTATCCACAGAACTTCAAGGTAGAATTTGCTTTAAATTGTGAGTTTGTTCCTGTTGAATTTCATGATATCCGACAAGTGAAAACCAGTTTTAAAAAGCTGATGAGGGCTTGTATCCCAAGCACCATTCCTACTGACTCAGAAGTGACCTTCCTAAAAGCCCTGGGAGACTCCGAGTGGTTCCCACAGGTAACTTCTAGAACTCTAGAGCAGCGTGTGTTATAACTCAAGGAAAGAGAAGAGGCTGAAATAGAAATACAGAACCCATATTTAGGAAAAGAATATGGGGCCTGCGTTGTGGCATAGCACGTGAGGCCACTGCTTGCAATGCCAGCAGCATATATCCGAGTGCTGGCTCCAGTCCTGGCTACTCCTCTTCCAATGCAGCTTCCTGTAAATGTGAATGTGTGTGGGAAAATGAAGGATTATGCTCCACGCACCTGGGCCCTGCCACCCATGTGGAGACCAGAATGGAATTCCTGGCTTTGACCTGGCCCAGACCTGGCTATTTAGTGAACCAGTGAATGGAAGATCTCCTTCTCCCTCTCTCTCTCGCTCTCTCTCTCTCCCTCTCTCCCTCTCCCTCTCCCTCCTTTCCCTCCTTCCCTCCTTCCTTCCTTCCCTCCTTCCCTCCTTCCCTTCTTCTCTCTGCCTTTCAAATAAATAAATAAAATCTTTTTGAAAAGAGTTAGTTTTTCCCCACTGCTCACCATTCTCCCCCACCCCCTTACTGTACACCCTCCTGTAAAGGCCTTTCAGTGTCAGGAAAGCACAGGCGGCAAGGACTGGCATTCTTGATCACTGGGTTATTTCCTCTGCAACTGAAAGTTGGCAATTCGTAGGATGCTTAGGAGGAGACAATTATTTGCAGGTGGAAACTTTCTGATTTACAATAAATCTAATCACCATATATTTACAAGGCTCATGATCTGTTGTCAACACAGTGAGGATCTAGGAATCTGGGACAGAACAGGATTTCTGCGTAACTCTAAGAGCCTTTTCCTGTTAACTTCCTCACATTCATTCACATCTTGGCCTATTCCATATCTCTATGTTTATTTCCTTTTAAGAGACATGGTTTGATCTTTTCTTTGTTTGTTTTCATTTTTATTAAACAGAGAGACAGAAGGAGATCTATTGACTCATTCACTTCCCAATGTCTGCAACAGCCAGGGCTGGGCAAGCTGAGCCAGGAGCCCAGGACTCAGTCCAGATCATCTGTGTGAGTGGCAGGGACCCAAGTATTTGAGACATGACCTGCTGCCTCTGAGGATCCGCGTAACAGGCAACTACATGGGAAGCAGAGTAGCTGGGACTCAAACCAGGCACTCTGATATGGGATGTGGGTGTCCCATGTGGCATTTTATGCACTGTGCCACAATGCCGCCTGACGTCTCAAGATTTTAAATTCACCTTCAAACCAGCCATGAAAGGCACACTGGGTACCCCAAATATATCCATCTTTCATCTATGTTTACTTTGGGATGTATTTAATTGAAGTTTTATTGAGTAATGAAAGGGGAATACATATGTCAGCACACAGAAACCTACATTTCTTCCAGCCTACAGAAAGAAAGGTATTCATGACATGCCTATTTTAGGCACTATTGCAGTATAGCCTTCATCCTTGTCTTCAGGTTTCTGGTGCTAAGTCCATTATTTCTCCTCAGCCTGCAAGAATTCCCAGGTCCTCTGTTCCCTTCCTTCCCCCATCTACCTCTCCTCTACCTCTGTGCATACTCTTGAAGTGGAAAGGGGGTTGTTTCCCACAATACTTTGGACTAAACGCAAAAAAGGAAATTACGTCAGTACCCAGAGTAGTACATTGTTTTGTTTTGATTTAAGATTTATTTATTTCCTGTAGGGAGAGGCAGAACAGGGAGAGGGAGAGTCCATCCACTGATTCATTCTCCCAATAGCCATAACAACCAGGTTGGAGCCAGGAGCTAGAACCTCCATCCTGGTTTCCCACATGGGTGGCAGGGACCCAGATACTTGGGCCATCTTCCACTGCTTTCCCAGGCATATTGGCAGGGAACTAGATCAGAAGCAGAGCAGCCGGAACTCGAATTTGAACTCTGATGCAGGTTGCCTTCATTGTAAGCAGCAGCTTAATCCACTGCACCACCAGCCCCACACAGAGCAGTGACTGATTTGAAAACAAACACAGCCACATACATACACAAGTGGCTATAACTATATATCAACACTGTATTCAGGCAATTGCCTGAATTATTAAGGCAATTTAGGATACTTTAAGTACTGCAGAGTTGATCAAAACTTCCTTCTGTCACCCAGCCCCAAACTATCCTCACCACCCAATATTTCTTCTCATTTATTTATTTCTGGCACATTCTGTGCTCTGCTTCTTGCTGAACAGTGGACCTGTACCAGAGATAAGAGACTAAAGACCATAGAAAATATTACCACCGTTGGGATATTGGCATTTTAAAAGTTAACTCTTAGAGCAAATGCTAAGCCCAGGAGAATTCAGGCTTGGTGGTAGCTACATTCTAGCAACAGTAAGTAAGGAGCTTCCCACTGTTGGGTAGAACTTGTACCTTGCTGTTTTCCCCAAATTATTTCATTCTAAGGGGTCTGTTTCTATATGAGGAGGGTTTGTTTTTGAGTTGTGTTGGATCCATACTGCAAATTATGTCTCATGGTATTTATAACATTTTTTATTAAACCAGAATGTTACATGTTGGTCTTAAAGTCTATATGCTGTACTCATAATCTAATTTTTAAAGACTTATTTATTTGAAAGGTAGAGTTACAGAGAGAGACAGAGAGACAGAGATCTTCCATCTGCTGGTTCATTCCCCAGATGGCTACAATTGCTGGGCCTGGCCCAGGCCAAAGCCAGGAGCCAGGAGCTTCATCCAGGTCTCCCATGTGGGTGGCAGGGGACCAAGCACTAGTGCCGTACTCCACTGCTTTTCCCAGGCCGTTAGTAGGGAGCTGGACAGAAGTGGAGCAGCCAGGACTTGAAACAGCTCCCATATGGGATCCAGCACTGCAGGCAGTGGCTTTACCCACTATACCACAACACTTGGCCCCAGTCTGATTGTTTAATAAGTACTTTTATTCAGCATCCCATATCAGAGTGTCTGGTTTCCCACTCCCAATTCCAGCTTCCTTCTAGTGCAGACCCTAGAAGCCAGCAGTGGTCGTTCTAGCAGCTGGGTCTTTGCCACCAACACAGGTGCTCTGGATTGAGTTCCCAGGTCCAAGCTCTGGCCTGGCCCTGCTGCTGCTGTTTTGAGCATTTGGGGAATGAACCAGCAGATGGGAACTCTTTCTCTGTGTGTCTCTCTGCTCCTCAAAATTTTTAAATTCTAAAAAAAAAAAAAAAAAAAAAATTGAACATAAATAGAGGTTTTCTTCCCATTTGATACACAGTTCAGACAAATAGGAGTATCTTTTGTTTAACATGATTTATTACCATAAAATTCATCCTCTTAATGGATACTATTCAGTGCTTTTTACTATATTCACAGATGTGCAGTCATCACTAGCTCCATAAAAATTAAGAGTATCTGAAATAGAACTGACTACATCATGGAAAACTAACTGTAAATCTGATAACTAGGTTGAGAAGACTAACAACCTTGTCTTTTCCACTCTGGCATTGTAGCTCTTTTGCTTTGGGGGAAATTAAGTAAGGTCATTTTATTTCAGTAGATAGCACTTAAACACATTGTTTGAAAATATGTCTACTTTTAAAATACATCAGTTTCTCCTTAATTTCACAACAACTCTAAGTATTTAAAATATTATGTGGTTCTTTTGCCCAAGTGTTTTATCCCAGCTTGTTTGGTTGTTGATAGCAAGTCTGTCCTCTTTGTTGAGAAAGTGCTTAGCCTGATTGTGGTCCTTTCTCCTGTCTCTTAGCTTCACAGGATAATGCAGCTGGCTGTGGTGGTATCAGAAGTGCTTGAGAATGGTTCCTCAGCCTTGGTCTGTTTGGAAGAAGGTTGGGACATCACTGCACAAGTAAACTATTAAACATTTTTTAATACATTCTTATATTTATATCTCAATTTGGTTGTTCTTAAGTTCTGCAGATGAATATTTTGCCAGGTTACTGTTTATGCACAGAGAAAATCCTCTGTTAAAACACCTACCTGTTATCCATCAAGAAACTATGTGCAAGGAGCTGTAGTCGAAGGCACCAGGCTCCTACACCCACAGATGCACCATGCAAGCTTTCATACAGAGCCCTTGACCAATAGTGTGGGACATGGACCATCCCGCCTGTGTTTGTCAGTCCTTTCCCTAGCAGTATGTAAGCCCCTCTCCTACTCACTTGAGTGAAAAGGAAAAGTATGAGCACAGACTACATTAAGACATCAATCTACACCTCCAGGTTTTAATTGATCACCTGGCCTCATTAATGAATTAATCTTAGAAAAAGCCACAGTTAGCAAACTGGCCAGTAAAGGATTCCAACATTAATTCCCTGAAAGAAAACATGCAGCCAGTAACTATATGAGAAACACAGAATGAATTTTGAGTTTTAGTTTTTACTGGAAAGTTTGCAGAATTCATTTCATTGGCTATCCTGGAGCACTTAGTGAGCAGATTTGCTAGCTAAATAACTTTGCTTGCGATTTAACTATTATCAAGAGGAAGTGCTTTTATTTTAGTCAGCGAGACTTTTTCAGGATTGAAATTAATGCTGTACCCATCTACTTGTGCTCTAGGTAACATCCCTGATTCAGGTACTCAGTGATCCCTTTTATAGAACACTCGAAGGCTTCCGGATGTTGGTTGAAAAAGAATGGCTCTCCTTTGGTCATAAATTCAGTCAGCGGAGCAGCTTGACCCTCAACTGTCAGGGTAGTGGTTTTGCTCCAATCTTCTTACAGTTCTTAGACTGTGTACACCAGGTAAGTGTAGCAGGCTTAAACTGACTTAACTATGAAGGAAAGAAAACGTACTAGCATTTATTGAGCCTTGAAACCTGTGCTAGTTACCTTCCTGTAATAACTGTGAGTAAATCATCCATAGGACATGCTTGAATCCCAGCAGTAGACCCCTGGGAATGGAAAAGAAAAAGAGCTAGCTGGTTTTTGAAATTAGGATCATTGAGCTGGCTGAAGGGTATCCCTCAAGTGAGGATGCCAGCACTCAAATTCACATCTCAAAGAGGAAGAGCAGGTGTGAGCTTGCTCTCCAAGAAGATTTAGACAAGAGTAGAACAGCAGAAACCTATAGGTAGGCAGGGCCTGAAGTCTAGCAAATGATCTGCCCAGTTTGGTAGGGCCCTAGGTTGTGCCTAGGAACAAAGGCTGTAGAGCCTAACCCCTGGAGAAGTAATCAGAGCCCCAGTAGCATGTGGAGTTGAGAACACTGGCTGAGTTCTACTGGGATGACTTAGCGCCAACCAAGAGGCCAGACAGAAGCCTAAGTGTATAATCCATTCACAGCCAGTGAGGGTGGGAGAGATGTGAGTGCTCCAGTCTCCCTTCTTCGTTCCTCGCAGGCACATCAGTTACGGACCTCTTAATGGTGCCTTGGTCAGGCTTGGGCTGGAGAATCAGATGGCGCCTAGTTTGCAAGCTGAAGGCTAACTTGGCCTGGGAAAAGCAGCTTGACACTTCCAGCCTTGTTTCATCTGTGTCACAACCCCATGGGTAGATGAATGGATTCTGGCATGTCAAACATGTTTGTGGGAACAATGAGTCTCTTTAAAATACATTGGCTTTGAGTATCTGTTTAGAAGAAAATGTAGAAATAATTTCAGGAACCAAACTTGGAACTAGGTCTTCTGAGGAGGCCAAGTTGGTATGTGGTTGTTTTGATTTGTTTTTATTCTGTTAATCATTTTCTTAAGTAACAGCTTTATTGAACTTTGATTTATATTTCAACTTAAAGTGTACAACTCAGTAGTTTTTTAATATATTCACAGACCTGTGAATTGCCACAATTTTAGAATATTTTACTACCAAAAAAATTAGCTGTGGCTTTCCATACCCTCATCTTCTTCCCCCACCCCTCACCCCCCCACCTCCCCCACCCTGTACACACACACACACAAACACGCACGAGGTTGATTTTGATTGTACCAGTTTACTTAATAAAGGCCTGTTGACTCGTTGTATCCTGTCGCCCAAGCAACATTTGAAGTAGTAGTCACAAGGTTGAGCTTGTGCTTTGCAGCTAAATTGTATATTTGTTTTCTGTTTTTCTTCAGATTCCTTTTGGCAAATAGATGAGGGAGAAATCTAGAGACCATTGTCTGAGAGACAGAAAGCTTAGCTGAGGCCACAGAAGGGAAGCAGGCATCTCTTGTCACTTGTCTGCATAAGAGCATGAGTTCTTTATGAAAGCACTTCTTGTTTATGCTTTCCAAGTGCCCTAGGCCATCTCCTGCCTCTGTGTACCACTACCTAACAATAATTATTAATGTGTACTGAGTGCTTGCTGTGCGCACTGCACAAAGCACTATATGTTGTTTGTTATTTCATTTCATGGTGCTTTCTAAGTAATCTTTTCAACTTTTCCTGACCCCCCCCCTCATGTGTATTACTAATAAGTCATGTGCAGACTTCTCTGGTAGCATCTATAACACTAGAGTAGTATATTTTAGCTGAGATTTCTTGGAAACAGGGTCTCTGTCATATCAGTCATTATATCCCTAGAATCTAACAGTCTGCAATAAAAGAGGTCTTCAAAAAGTTCACAGAAAATGCATACTATGAAAAATATTATTAAGGGATCTCAAACTTTCTTGCTCCAAAACAAACTTAGCTTGCTTGCTTATTTATTTATTTATTTATTTGAGAGATATTGGGGCACAGAGCTCCCATCTGCTCATTCAGTCCTTAGATGCCACAGTTGCTGAGGCTGGGCCAGCTGCACACTCAATCCAGGTCTCCCACATGGGTGGCAGGGACCCAACTACTTGAGCCATCATTGCTGCCTCCTAGGATCTACACTGGCAGGAAGCTGGAATTGGCAGCACATGCCTGGACTCAAACCCAGGCACTCTGTAGGGAGTAACAGGTTTCTCAGTTGGGAGCTTAATCTCTAGCCAAATGCTCAGCCCAGTTTAGCATTAAATAAGACTCATATAATCAACTTTCTTTTTTCTTCTTAAAAATTTATTTATTTACTTGAAAGTCAGAGTTACAAGAAGAAAGAAGGAGAGACAGAGAGGGAGGTTTTCCATCTGCTGGTTCACTCACCAATTGGCTGTAATGGCTGGAGCTGTGCCAATCCGAAGTCAGGAGCCAGGAGTTTCTTCCAGGTCTTGGGCCATCTTCTGCTTTCCCAGGCCATAGCAGAGAGCTGGATTGGAAGTAGAGCAGCCGGGACCCAAACTGGCACCCATAACCTTACCTGCCACACCACAGTGCCGGCCCCATTAACTTTCAATAAATAGGTAGTATCAGTGAATAAATATGAACATTGAATAAATGCAAATCTTGTTCATGCTGTCACCATTCTGCAACAAAACCATCCAGAGTATTCTAAGGAGAATTGCTAACATGTCTTCTGAAAGCTTAAATACAAGAATGTTATTCTCCTTTGTAAAAACCTTCAGTGTCTTCGCATTTTCTAAAGAGTTTCTCATCCTCATATTGAATTGGAATTAGTAACAGTCATTGACTTGCTTTGGGAAAGAGAAACTCTTGTTTCTATAGCCCACCTTAGGGAGGGAGTTATAAGCCAGGAACCATAGACAAAAACCAAAATATATAAATATATATATATAATATCACAAATATAAAATATAAAACCTATAATTGCAACCACTAAAAATCAAGCTACATAGATAACACTCAAGGGGCAGGCATTTAGCCTAGCAGTTAGTACATCCATATCAGAGCCAGTGTTGTGGCACAAGAACCCACCAAGGGCAGCAGATGATGGCTCAAGGACTTTAGTCCTGGCCAACCATGTGGAATACCTATATGGAGTTCCTGGCTCTTGGCTTCAGCCTGGCTGTTGTAGCATTTGGAGAGAGAAGCAGCAGATGGAAGATATCTTTCTCTCTCTTTCTCGGTCACTCTTCCTTTCAAAGAAATAAATAAATATTAAAAAAAAAAAAAGGCGGGGGGGCGGGGACTGGCTCCTGCTTCTGGCTTCCTACTAATACAGACCCTGGGAGATAGCAGCAATGACTCAAGTAACTGAGTTCTCGTCACCCTGTGTAAGATCTGAATTCAGTTCCCAAATGCCAGCTTCAGTCTCATCTGGCCCAGCCCTTAAGGACAGTTGAAGAGTGAACCAGCAGACAGAAACTCACTCTGTCTCTTTATCTCTCAAATAATTTTTTAATAAAGAGATATACTTTTAAAAGATCCAATGTAATTCTGAAAATCTTAAAGTAACCACATAAAGCAAACAAAAACAGATGACAAAAAAGTAAAATGCCAGCCTTGGGGCTACCATTGTGGTGTAGCGAGTAGTGCTACCACCTGTGATGCCAGCATCCCATATGGGTGCTGATTCGTATGCCAGCTGCTCTACTTCCAATCTATCTCCATGACAATGGCCTGGGAAAGCAGTGAAAGATGGCCCAGTTGTTTGGGCCCCTGCACCCATGTGGGAGACCTGAAAGAAATCTTGGCTCCTGGCTTCATTCTGGCCCAGCCCAGCCATTGAGGCCATCTGGGAAGTGAACCAGCAGATGAAAGATCTCTCTGCTTCTGCCTCTCTCTTTGTCACTCCAACTTTCAAATATATAAATAAATCTTTTTTAAAAAAATGATAAGCTTAAGCCCTAACGTTATCAAGGGTTATATATATATATATATATATATTTTTTTTTTTTTTTTTTTTTGACAGGCAGAGTGGACAGTGAGAGAGAGAGACAGAGAGAAAGGTCTTCCTTTGCCGTTGGTTCACCCTCCAATGGCCGCCGCGGCCGGCGCGCTGCGGCCGGCGCACCGTGCTGATCCGATGGCAGGAGCCAGGAGCCAGGTGCTTTTCCTGGTCTCCCATGGGGTGCAGGGCCCAAGCACCTGGGCCATCCTCCACTGCACTCCCTGGCCACAGCAGAGGGCTGGCCTGGAAGAGGGACAACCGGGACAGAATCCGGCGCCCCGACCGGGACTAGAACCCGGTGTGCCGGCGCCGCTAGGCGGAGGATTAGCCTAGTGAGCCGCGGCGCCGGCCTAGGGTTATATTAAATGTAACTGTTTTCAGTATATCATGATCTAACTACGTGCTGTTTATAAGAACTTCACTTCATATCTAAGTATTATTCAAAGCATCTTTATTTATAGTAACCAAAAACTGGGGTTGAGGGTGGCGAGTATGTTCTGCAATAGGTAAACAGATAAACAATACCATGGACTACAACTGAACCATAAAAAAAAAAAAAAAAAACTATTGATGCAACAACTTCAATAGATCTCAAGTACAGTATCTGGAATTGAGGGAGAGAAACAATCTCAAAGGGTCATTTCATGTATGATTCCACTTATATAACATCCTCCTAAATGACAGGATTGTAGAGACAGAGAAGAAATTCTTGGTTGCCAGGAGTTTGATATAATGGGGAAAAGTGGGTGTAACTGTAAAGGATTAGCCTGAAAAACAACACCATTGTCTGTCAGCTGGTGAACAGATAAACAAATTCATGTGATGGAATACTAAGCAAGCAAAATAAATATTAGTGTATACCACATACTATATAGGTTCTTTTTTTAAAGATTATTTATTTTTATTTATTTGAAAGGCAGAGCTAGAAAAATCTTCAATCTGCTGGTTCACTCCCCAAATGGCCACAACAGCCATGGCTGAGCCAGGCTGAAGCCAGGAGCCTGAAGTCTCTTCTGGGTCTCCCACATGGGTGCAGAGGCCTAAGCCCTTTGGCCATGTTCTGCCTGTTTTCCCAGGCACATTAGTAGGGAGCTGTATCAGAAGTGCACAATCAGGATTCAAACTGGCGCCTGTATGGGATGCCAGCGTCCCAAGTGGAGACTTAAATTGCTACACCACAAGCCGGTCACTATATGAAATTTTTTGAAAAAAGAAAAAAGGCAAAACTGTAGTGCTGAAAGCAAAAGAGTAGTTGCCTGGGCTCTGGGGTCAGGAGAAGATGGACCACAAATGACTTGGCAAACTTGGAAATCAAGGCACTGTTTGGTATCTTGACTGTGGTAGCAATTACACAGCTATGTACAGTACCAAAATTAATCAAACTATACATTTAACATAGGAGAATTTTATTACATGTAAATGATACTTCAATAAACTGGAATGTATTTTTTCACTAGAAAATCTACCATCTTAGTACATTGAAGTTGCAAAAAAAAAAAAAAAACAGCAGCTATCTGGTTTCTCCAGAGAAGGATTTGTCAAGTCTGGTGCCCAGAGAGTACTTAGAAGCCTGGCTTCCTGCTTCCTGGAAGCAGGGCAGGAAATGGATCCAGGGAGACCCAAGTTCAGTGTGCAGACCTGTAGTTTTTTCCATCTTATTTTCAATCTCAAATCTTATCACTAACCTAGCTGTGCCTGGTATGCCCAAGTCCAGAGCTTATCAACTTTGTTTTGTCCAGAAAATAAACCTCTAATCTCTTGCTCTAATCATGTGACTACATGGAGTAGGAAAGGCCTGGGATCTAGTCATTGCCTCTGTAGACTTCCAGCTAGTCCCCATTTTAGCCCCATCTCACCCCTGTCTTACTCAGTATTGGGCCTCTGTGTCCTGAGACCTTCTGGACATACAGGGCAAACAGTTCCATTCACAAATAGTTTTTCTCCTGCAGCCATCCCAGTGCAGTGTCCCATCATCTGTCATTTACTGCCACTCTCCCTTCAGTTTTCCACCTTTTCAAAAATTGAATTGTTTTGGCCTGCTACCATGCCCTCTCCCATTCTCCTCACTCCCTTTTGCTTTTTGTTTTTTTGTTTTATAGCTCCTAAAAATTCCGTTTATTTAATGGGAGAAGGATCTGGGAGAGACTGAGTTTGCATTGCTTAATTTGGCTTAAGTTAAATGTGTACTAAAAATATTGTGTATCATTGTTCAACTTCACAATTCTGCATAGCTAAAAATTACAGTCAGCAAAAGAATACACTCAACAAGCAGTAAGACATCCTGTTGTCATAGGTGGGAACATCACTGTGTCCCAAGCACAATGTTCTAGGATTATAATGCTGTAGATGCTTCTGTTTCATCGTTGGGGGAAAGGTAGGGCGGGAATATGTAGAGACTGGAATATTGGAAAGTAATCTGTGTTCTGTGAACACCCCTTAGGTAGTATGAGTAAAGCAAATTAACATAAAATGAGATATGTTACATTCCTGTTACCTTTAAAATACATACATTGCAACAGATGCTTAAGTTACAAGTTATATAAAGCAACTTGGATAAGAGTTTAATTTCTGTTATCTGTTTATTTTAAATAGTTAAAATTCAAATGCTTCCTGTAAACCAGTTCTGAAATCAAAAACAGAAGTTGACTTTTAGCAAAAGCTCAATTATTTATACATGAATCATTCACAAACTGTAGGAAGCAATAGTTTCAGGGTTTAAAGACCCCATTAGTATGATTTCAAATATAGATGTACCACATTGAAACATTTTTAATTAAAACAGATTTTTTTCAAATTGTTGACCCATACATCATATACAATAACTAGCAAGCAGACAGGTTATGGCAAAGCAAATGTATGACCTTAATTGCAGTATTTAAAGGATGCTTGGCCACAACAGGTATCAGCTTTGGTGAAGCAAATTATTCTGTGCTGAAAGGAATTGTTTATTCATTCAAAAACAGAGGAGTCTAAGAAGACTATAGTTAACAAATAGTGACTCTTGCTGACTTAATTATAAGGTAGTGTTTCATCATCACCTACTTACTGCTTTGGGGCATTAGAAAATGCCTTCTTTGGATGACTTTCAAGTGAACACTAGTGCTGTACATGACTCTAGCTTTTACTGAATAATTCAAATTAGTGCTGTCCTTAGTCTCTCAGGGACACAACAGAGCCAGGCCCAACAACATTTTAAAAATAAGTTCAAAATTATACAGCAGCAAGCAAAACTTTCCCGGATGGAATGTGTTCTCTGCTCATTAACCATTTCTAACATGCTGAATGCCAAAAGGCAGTCCATGGACATATGCCTAGACTTGTCCATTAATACTAATAAAGTTACAAAGAAAACAAATGAGGCACTGATCTTAAATTAGAACTGCCTCATAATATAAAAAGCCATTGTTTATGCCAGTATATCCAGGTGTCAGATGAATTATAAATGCTAGATCACTGTTTCATAATAGCAACATCTGGCAGATTTTTTGTTACTTGTAAAAGAAATTGGCTCAGAATGATATCATTACAGGATGCTTCCTTTTCTTAAAATAGTTGAACCAAATTCAGAAGGATAATACATCCAAAATACAAAGATGAAATTTTAACCTAAAATTTAGTTTTAAAATATATACCATATGAATGAAAAACATGAAGTTTAAAGAAGCTTCCCCTTTTTTCAGAATTAAAGTAAATCTTTGAAAGCATTTAGAACTTTTTCGTTATTTTCTCCGTTGAGAAAAATCAATAACAGTTTTGACTCTGCCTTCTAAGTTTATTCAAACTGTAAATTGACTCACTCTGGTCTGGCTTTGTGATGTGGTTCTCCTTGAGGTTACCATAAGCCAGTACCCTGCTGGGTCCTATTCCAAAGAGAAAAGCTACTTGCCTGTTAAATATGTGACCCTTCTGTGTGAATATTGTTGTAAGCAGTTTAGCTTCCCCCATAATAGGTGGTTGCTCTATGATTGCTCCATTACCCATAGGCAAAATAGTTGCAGATGATGGATTCATGGTATATCCAAGAGTTTCCAGTATCTGCCTGCTTCCGGTTCAGCTATTAACTGGCAAAAAAAATTACATAATCTAAGCTATTTCACAACAAAGTAGTTTTGCATTGAGGCTTTTAATATTTAAGCTGATATAATATGGAAGGATTTCAAAAGCTTATGTGAAGTGGATAGCAGTACAAAGGACACAGTGTTTGTTAACTATTAATATGCACAGTAACAAAAATTAGTATTAGCTACTTACTTTTCTAGAATGTCTAACCATACCAGTTTTTCACATGTTGATATAGTTGCATATACTATCTCTTGTAGATTAATATTTTTAATTCCTGAAAGCAGAATCCAATTTTCCCAAAATTTTGATTTTCCCTAGGGTTTGAGTCATAGCTTATTTTATGGGCCTTTAAATTTTACAGAGAGTTTAATGGCACTGGAACAAAAAATAAGACCCTATAAATTCATGTTTCTCCAAATTCCATTTCAGATTCCGTTCCTATAAATAAGTGAAACTGACATGTCTCACTCCACAATGGAAACAAAACCAAAATACCTATCACTCTAGTCTTTCAAATCTGTTTTTTTTTTTTTAATCTTCGCCAAGAAAAATACAGAGTTATTTTGAACAACTGGATACAAATGATACCTGAGAGAGGCCTAAAACTCCACTCACTGTCATGGTTAAGGAAACTTTCGTATAAAATTTACTGACTGAGATGACTGTCATTCCCAATTCTATGTAATATAAGAAGGCTACGTTTATTTATTTAAAATGTGCTTGCTATTAGGCTCCAAAAATCTTGCAGTCAACAATAAAGAAAACTAATGAAACCAAAAGCTATTCTTTGAGATAGGTAAAATTAATAATAGACTGAAGAGGCCGGCACTGCAGCTCACTTGGCTAATCCTCTGCCTGCGGTGCCAGCACCCCGGGTTCTAGTCCTGCTTGGGGCACCAGATTCTGTCCCGGTTGCTCCTCTTCCAGTCCAGCTCTCTGCTGTGGCCCGGGAAGGCAGTGGAGGATGGCCCAAGTGCTTGGGTCCCTGCACCCTCATGGAAGACCAGGAGAAGCACCTGGCTCCTGGCTTCAGATCGGCGCAGCGCGCCAGCCGTAGCAGCCATATAGGGGGTGAACCAACGAAAGGAAGACCTTTTTCTCTGTCTCTCTCTCACTGTCTAACTCTGCCTGTCAAAAAAAAAAAAAAAAAAAAGACTGAAGAAAAAATAACACAAACTACCAATATTAGAAAGGAGAAATATAATGTTACTACAGAGTCTGTAGATAAAAGAATATTATGAACAATTTGATGCCAATAAAGTCAACAATTCATATTAAACAAATTCTTTGAAAGACACAAACTCCATAACAGAATAGGCCTATATATCTTCTATTAAGGAAATGGAAATTATATTTAAAATCTTTCTACTTCAGACATAGATACCTCCGTTGGTAAATTCCATCAGGCATTTAAGGAGAAAATAATTGTATCCTACAAAAATTCTCCCTGTGGGGCCGGCGCTGTGGTGTAACCTGTAAAGCCCCAGCCAGCATCCCATATGGGCGCAGGTTCAAGTCCCAGTTGCACCACTTCCGATCCAGCTCTCTGCTGTGGCCTGGGAAGGCAGTGGAGGATGGCCCAAGTCCTTGGGCCCTTGCACCCATGTGGGAAGACCTGACGGAAACTCCTGGCTTATGACTTTGGATCGGCACAGCTCCGGCCTTTGCGGCCAACTGGGGAGTGAATCAGTGGATGGAAGTCTGTCTGTCTGTCTCTCTAACTTTTCCAAATAAACAAATAAAAATCTTTTAAAAACATTCTCCCTGAAAATGGAAGCAAAAGGAATACTTTGCAACCAAACCATAATGCCAGCATTGCTGGCCCTGATGAAGACAGTTTAAAAAAAAAAAAAAAAGTAGATCCATGTCCTTGATGATCACAAAAACATTCAAATTTTCTAAACAAAAGTTTAACAAATCAAATCCAACAGTATTTAAGGAGGATAGTATACCATTACCAACTGAGCTTACCCCAGGAATACAATATTGGTTTCACTTTTGGAATCAATGTAATTTACTGTATTAAGAAACTAAAAAAAGAAAAGTCATATGGCTCCATTCCTAGCACTAACATAAAAATTAATTCAAGAATACTATAAGCCTTCTAGAAGAAAACCTAGAAATAAATCCTTGTGACCTTTGTTTAAGCAAAGAAATCTCAGATTTAACATCAAAAGCATTGTGTATAAGAAATTGATAGACTTTGTCAAAAATTTTAAAAACTTCTGTCCTTCAAAAAATCACTCTTAAGAAAATAAGATCCATCGCAAAGTAAGAGAAAATGTTTGCAAGCATATATTTTCTAAAATATTTACATACAGAATATATAAAGAATGCTCAAAACTACATAATAAAAAATGGCCTATTTTTTAAATAACACAAAATATTTTTTTAAATAGTTACAGAGAGGGAGAGACAAAGAGAAATCTCCCATCCGCTGGTTCACCCCCTAGATGGTCCCACTGGGCCATCTGCTGCTGCTTTTCGCAATACCTTAGCAAGGAGCTAGATGGGAAGTGGAGCAGCTGGGACATGAACTGGCACCCGTATGGGATGCCAGTTCACAGGCAGCGGTTTTACCCACTATGCCACAATGCCGGCCCCTAAATACACAAAATATTTGTGCTGACTTCACAAGATCCAAGAATGGCTAATCAGCACACAAGTAGATGCTCAATATTTTCCTTCACTAGGAGATGCAAATTAAAGTAACAGTGAGATATGAACACTACCCACCTATTTGTAAATGGCTTAACATTTTTTAAAGATTTATTTATTTGGAAGTCAGAGTTAGAAAGAAAGAAGAGACAGATCCATCTTCTATCTACTGATTCACTCCCCAAATGGCTGCAACAGCCAGTGCTGGACCAGGTCAAAGCCAGGAGCCTCATCTAGAGTTTCCATGTGGGTGGCAGGGGCCCAAACACTTGAACCATCTTCTGCTGTTTTCCCAGGCCATTAGCAGTGTGCTGGATTGGAAGTGGAGCATCTGGGACATGAACTGGTGCCCATATGGAATGCTGGGTCACAGGCAGAGACTTTGCCCACTACACCACAATGTCACTTCACCCACTATGATGTAACATTTTTGGTTTTTAAATTGAGAGGAAGAGAAAGAGAGAGATGTCCTATCTACTGGTTCACTCCCTGAATGTCTGAAACAGCCTGAAGCTGGAATTTAATTTTGGGTCTCCCATGTAGGAAATGGCTAAAATTTTTTAAACTAGTCACCTCAAGTTTTGACAGGGATGTGGAAAAAAATGAAAACTTTCAAACATTACTGATGGTACTATAAAATTGTACATTTCCAAAATTGACATTTTTGAAAATAATGTGGCTATTTCTTTAAAAGTTAAACATACTTTAACCATGTGACTTAGTCATTTCATTCTAGGGATTTGTGTAGAAGACACATAAGCTTATTTCCTTACAAAAACTGTACATAACTCTTACAGAAGCTTTACTTGTAATTGCCAAAAATCTGGAAACAAGCTATTATCCACCAACAGGCAAATGAACAAATTGTGGCCTATCTATTCAATGGAATACTATTGAACAATAGAAAGGAATGAGTTACTGATATGGATGGATTTCAGATAAGCTTGGTGAATTAGAGCAGACCAAAAAACAAGAGTATATGCAGGAGTCGGCACTGTGGTATAGCCAGTAAAGCTGCCGCCTGCAATACCAGCATCCCACCTGGGCGCCAGTTTGAGTCCTGGCTGCTCCTCTTCTGATCCAGCAATCTGCTCTGGCCTAGGAAAGTAGTAGAAAATGGCTCAAGTGCTTAGGCCCCTGCAACCATGTGAGAAACCCAGAAGAAGCTGCTGGCTCCTAGCTTCAGATCGGCTCAGCTCCAGCCATTTCAGCCATTTGGGGAGTGAACCGGCAGATAGAAGACTCTCTCTCTCTCTGCCTCTGCCTCTCTGTAGCTTCTTCAAATAAATAAATACACGTTTTAAAAAAAAGTACATACAAGGGATCTTCAAAAAATTTTGGGGGGGCCAGTGCCGTGGCTCACTTGATTAATCCTCTGCCTGTGGCACCAGCATCCCATGTGGGGGCTGGGTTCTAGTCCCGGTTGCTCCTCTTCCAGTCCAGCTCTCTGCTGTGGCCCGGGAAGGCAGTGGAGGATAACCCAAGTGCTTGGGCCCTGCACCCCATGGGAGACCAGGAGTAGGCACCTGGCTCCTGGCTTCAGATTGGTGTAGCTCCAGCTGTTGTGGCCATCTGGGGGGTGAATCAATGGAAGGAAGACCTTTCTCTCTGTCTTTCTCTCTCACTGTCTAACTCTGTCAAATAAAAAAAAAAAAAAAAAGAAAAAAACAAATTTAAAAAAAGTTTTTTGGAAATGTATATTATAAAAAAAATTGGGCACGGGGCCGGCGCTGTGGCGTAGTAGGTTAATCCTCCACCTACGGCACCAGCATCCCATATGGGCGCCGGTTCTAGTCCCAGCTGCTTCTCTTCCAGTCCAGCTCTCTGCTAATGGCCTGGGAAAGCAGTAAAAGATGGCCCAAGTGCTTGGGCCCCTGCACCCAAGTGAGAGATCCAGAGGAGGCTCCTGGTCCCAAATCACCCAGTTCTGGCCATTACAGCCATTTAGAGAGTAAACCAGCAGATGGAAGACCTTTGTCTCTGTCTCTCCCTCTCACTGTATCTCTACCTGTCAAATAAATAAATAAAATCTTTAAAAAAAAAAAAGGCACATACTTCAAAATCTTTTTGTATCCATATCAACTTACCTTTTAATTCTGTTCTTCCATGAACTTTTTGAAGGATCCTCATACTTCTGATTCTGTATGTAAAGTTCTAGTAAATGCAAACTTATCTGTAGTGACTAAAAACAAGGGAGGGGTGCAGGGAGAGGCAAAAAGGGTACAATGAAACTATGGATGGTGCATGCATTATTATTTTTACCTTGGTATTGATTTTATAGCTGTATGGATATTTCAGATTTTCTCAGGTTAGGGATAGGCATGTATTACAATGGTTAAAAACACCACTTGGGGCCGGCGCCGTGGCTCACTAGGCTAATCCTCCGCCTAGCGGCACCGACACACCGGGTTCTAGTCCCGGTCGGGGCGCCAGATTCTGTCCCGGTTGCCCCTCTTCCAGGCCAGCTCTCTGCTGTGGCCAGGGAGTGCAGTGGAGGATGGCCCAGGTGCTTGGGCCCTGCACCCCATGGGAGACCAGGAAAAGCACCTGGCTCCTGGCTCCTGCCTTCGGATCAGCACGGTGCGCCGGCCGCAGCGTGCCAGCCGTGGTGGCCATTGGAGGGTGAACCAACGGCAAAGGAAGACCTTCCTCTCTGTCTCTCTCTCTCACTGTCCACTCTGCCTGTCAAAAAATAAAAAAAAAATTTTAAAAAAAAACACCACTTGGGAAGCCAACATCCCATACTGCCCTGGCTCTGCTTCCAATTCCAGCTTCCTGCTCATGCACACCCTGGGAGGCAGCAGATGATGGCTCAGTAAGGTTTCCACCACCCACATGGCAGACCTCAATTAAGGTCCCAGCTGCTGGCTTCCACCAGGCTCAGCCATGGCTGTTGTGAGCATCTGGGGAGTGAACCAGCAGCTGGGAGGTGGGTCAGTCTCTCTCAAAAATATTTAAAAGAAAAATTGATAAAAGGGTAAGTACATGGATTATGCCTTTTGGAGATCACTATGGTTTGATAGGGCAAAAGAGTGTAGTGTCTTGTTGAAGAATAGAAGAATTCAAAGAACTAGACAGGCTGAGTCCCTGGTGTAGGACCAAATGGAGAAAATGATTTTTTTTTTTTTTTGCATGCTAGAAATCTAAGCACTGAATTTTTTGTCTTGTGAACTCTGCTAGCTCTTCATTTCTTTTTCCATTATGGTAGAAAGACATTTCAGATGATTCCTAGGTTACTTAATGCCAATCCCAGTGTGGTGTATAAGACTAATCAACCCAGCATTCAGTTGATCTAACTTTATTTTTTTCCATTGAAAAAATTCTCACAGGCTTGCTACTCTGTCTGTTGCTGAAGAATTTAAAAACAATAATAAAAATCTGCTCTTCCACTTCCAGTAAAACTGATTATTCATTAATGCTGCTTTGGGGGCAGAATTTTCTTCAGTCCCAAGCAGTTACCATGGTGGCACATACACAAGGACACAAGCACAAGGCCTCCAGGCACTCACACCTTGATGCTGTCTTAGACGCACCAATTCCAGTTCCATCAGTGTGAGTGCCAAGGCCTTGGAAAAGTGTCTAAGTTTTTCACCATGATAGTAGAAGGCAGGGTTTGTGGCAGGCCAATCGCTCAATGCCACGGGCTATGAAAGCGTTTTTCCACTCGCAGAGGAGTTTGGCTTTTAGTCTATAGCATATGATCTCCTTGAAATGCCTGGAAGTTCAACTTGAGGTTATATTCATTCTTTTCATTATACTTTATCCCAGAAGCAGGTCTTCAAAATAATAGTACTGAACATATTAAATATCAGAATAATCAGGGGGAAAGATACAGGTATGTGTGAGTTAAGTGGTTTCTATGGAGAACAGTCATTGAAGGCAATTTTATTTGAAGGACTTTGTTTAATAAAAGCTTTTAAAAGTTTTTAGGACTTGTCATGGATTAGGCCAATAGAAAAAAACCTGAACAGTCCTTCCCCTGGTAACAGTGAACCAGGCTTGCCTGGGACTACAGAATGTTTATTCTGATTGTTCATGGAGTCCTCCTAACCTAGCACATTGCAGATCTTTCCTCCCAAGACTGTCAGATGGGAGGGAGCCCAGTGCATGCTCAGCTGGCCTGTGCCCTTCTGTCGCCCACCTACAGTCTGAGTCTCCCCTCTGCATTATGTGCACGCTGTCTCAATGGCATGGTGCTGTTGATTCCAATCCAAGGACTTGGACTTAGAAAGTCTAAGAATATTAAGGGACAGGTTGAGGGAAAACTTGAGGACTGTGTAATGCTTAAGATGAGGGCCAGGAACACCAGAGAACCAGGCTATTAGAGACTCAAACCCAGGGCCACCTTCTGGTTTGCATTAGTATCAGTAGGGGCAAGTGTTTGAGAATTGCTGCATTAGGGGTCATGGCAGACAATTGAGACAAACACATAGACAATTAGCAGAGCAAGGAAAGAAAAGGTATTTTTAAAAATGTCATTTTCAGTTATGGAAGAAGGTATCACTAATTATAACAACTACTTAGATCAACTTATTTTTATGCCCAGTTATAGTGCTGCAAAATAATAATGTTGCTTCTTAAATATGTGTCCGATTGACAGGCTTTATTATAACTGCAAATGCTTCAAATATGCTTAGCCTTTATAATTAGTTGTTTACCGTAATCACAGGAAAGCCATGGTGTCTACTCCCTTCACTGATGGGATGATTCATACTTAATACAAGCGCTCACAGCTAGAGAACAGCACGCTGCCTAGCTGTGTAGACCACTTCAGGAAGCACCTTCCCAGTGTGCAGGCCCACTGCATAAGAACCACACTCCTTTAATACATCTTCCTAAAATCTGTTTCATTTTTTAGTATTTATAAGCTAAAATTTTAGTTCAGTTAAAAAGCCAGGGATAAAATGCTTTCATTATCACAGAACACTGTGTCTCTAAATTTTGATAAATAACATCCAGATGATAACTTTGAATTCCCATTGGCCCACTGGACAATCAACATATTACACACATGCCTGCTCTCTTCAGCTGACCAACTGTGAGTACACATTGCCAAATTAAACATGAGGAAGAAAGCTGACTTCTAGACAGCCTGCCTGTAGTGTTCATTTGAAACAGCTTTTAAGCAAGTACCATTATGATTGGAACTTATCTCATCCAAACAAAATTCTGTAGCTGGTCATGAGAGATTGAGCAATAGAGGTGAGATTGCTGGCGGACTGGGGCGTGTCACAAGGGCATCGGCCCACCTTCTGCCTGTATAAGATGGCTCCGCAGAGCTGCATACAGTGTGTGTAAAGCGTGCTATAGCTCAGTCACTGTTCCAAGCTTTGCCCTGTCCTCTCCCTCCTGTAGCAATTTCTCATCCTTACTCCTATTCCAGTGACCTCACTGTCTAATTTACTGGTGAGAAATTAAGGTTAAAAGGTATAACCTTCTAGTTCTCTTCACACTAGAACATATCTTTGTGCACCCTCCCACCCCTCCCATCCCTCCTGATTTCTAAGGTTCTTCTCCTAGCCTCATTCATTCTGGCTTTTCTGGAGCCTTAATCTTTCTCTTGAATATGTTTCTCTCTCTCTCTCTCTCTCTCTCTCTCTCTCTCTCTCTCTCTGTTGCCTCCCTCTGGATAGCCTTCAGACAAATTTACATTTCTTTTGTCCAGAAAGCATCTCTTGCTGTCCCTTTAAGCCACCACCTCTTCTTAAGTATGGTTTTTCTTACCATGTTTCACTGTATTACACCACAAATGCCTAGATCCTAAACTTCCTCAGATGTAAAGTGGGACTAATAATGTGTGTATTGCAATGTTACAAAGATTACATAAGATTACTTTATGAACCTCTCTAGTGTGGTGTGTGGCACATAGTGGTGCTGAAGAGAACTGGTTCCCTTCCCATCTCCACATACAATAGGGATACAGGTATTTGTTGAATGAATGATCCACTGGTCTCCTGCATATTTCAGGTCAGCATTCAGTGGCATGACATCCATGTTTTGTTCTGTTTGCTTCTTCATCTTTTATTTAACTTATGTGTTTCAGGTTCACAATCAATATCCAACAGAGTTTGAATTCAATCTCTATTATTTAAAGTTCCTGGCCTTCCACTATGTTTCTAATCGTTTTAAAACATTTCTTCTGGATTCAGACTATGAAAGGTTAGAGCATGGTAAGTTTTTGTATGCCCTTGTTCCATCTTTTTTGTTAGTTTTGCATGTTTTTTTAAAAAGTTTATTTTATTTATTTGAAAGGCAAAGTTACATAGAGGGAGACATAGAGAGGTCTTCCATCCTCTGATTCACTCCCCATATGGTTGCAACAGCTAGGGCTCGGTCAGGCCAAAGTCAAGAGCCAGGAACTTCATCTGGTTTCCCACATGGGTACAGGAGCCCAAGGACTTACACCATTTTCTGCTGCTCTCCCAAGTGCATTAGCAGGCAGCTGGATCAGAAGTGGAGCAGCCAGAACTTGAATCAGCACCCACATGGAATTCTAGCATTGCAGATGGAAGCCTAACCCATTAGCCACAATTCCAGCCCAGTTTTGCGTGTTTTTAATGATGAATCTGGTGATGTAATTACCCCAAATATGACAAGCTCAGAGTTGTGATCTTACTTCAAAGTATGAGTGTAGAATGAATATGAAGAACTGCCCGTGTTCTGGGATTAAATGTTATGTTAGCTCTTGTGAATGGCAAAGGTCATTTCTGAAACATCTTTGCAAAGTTAAATCAGGGGCAGGGGAGGGCAGCATTGTGGCACAGTGGGTTAAGCTGCTACTTATAACACCAATATCCCATATCAGAAGTCATTGAGCCCATCTGGGGGTTGAACCAGTGGATGGAAGGTCTCTTTCTGTCTCTGTTTCTCCCTGTCACTTTGCCTTTCAAATAAATAAAATGTTTTTTAAAATACTAGTTAAATCTGTTTACTTTCTTAACACTTCAGAGTGATCCCACCATTTTGAGAGAAGTGTTTGAATTGTTTTTTTCCATCTCTGGTACACGCTGGTAAGAAAGGTGCCCTCCCTCGAAGGTTTGACTAGCCCTGGAGCATGCCAACCAAGGTTAAGTTCCAGCACTCCCAGCTGAATACTTGGGGAGAGTCGGGTGCTTGTCTGAGCCCCCGTTTCCTCATCTTTATAATGATGATAAAGCGCCCACTCCTTAGGGCCATGGTGATCACATGAAGGAAGAGTTGTAAAGTTGCTGGCACATAGTAAGCACTCAAATTTTAGACATCACTATCGTTATTTTAGCTGGAAATCCATCAGCTGCTACAGAACATTTCCCAAGAGGATTTTAAACTGTTTAACTTTTGCTCTTTGGGTGGGGGGCAGGAGGCAAATACACATGGCTCTTATTGCCAAAAAGACAAAAAAAATCAGCTGTGTTCAGTGTTTTGTATGCACGGAATCAAAAAGAGGAATATTCATAAAGAGGACTCTTTTAGTGTCAAGAAAATACTTACTGATGTTCTCAGTGTAAAATCTAAAGTCGGGAAGTGCTGCTTTCCAGGACATGCTATTGAGATGGTCTACTAGGAGGTCTCATTCTTTTGGAAAAGGAGACAGCACTGGCAAGACCATTTCCCATCCTGTTTATACTTCCAGGCCTTTGTTGACTCATAGAATTGTCATTCCCCACATCACAATCAGAAACCTTAATTTCTAAAGCACTGCACCGTGGGGAGGGAAAGGAGTGCAGCTGCCTCAGGCTGGGTTTGAGCAGCCTGACCTGACCCGTGTGACTGAGGGTCACCATGTCACTGAGCCTGACCCCTGACAGGAACAGCATATTGCAGACATCGGTGTGAGAGGTTTTATTTCCCTAGAGTAGTGTTTTGTTTGATTCTGATTTTTAGTAGAACAGTTTGTTTTAATAAATTAAACTGATCAGCAAATTCTTAGCAACACGCAGATGTGGCCAACGACCAAGGCTTTTGCTCTATCAGGTGGTGGTTCTCCATTAGAGAAGCAGTGAGGTCTGGCACTTTGTGACGGAATGTTAGAATTACCTGGGGAGCTTTTACAATTCCCAGCATCCAGGCAACAGCCCCACTACTGAAGTCTCCATCTGTGATGGTGTGGCTGAGGCGTCAGCAGCTTTTATGGCTGGGAATGCAGTCTGGTAGCAAAGGTCCTGTCGCATTGTTGTGCTGAGGCTGAGAGCCACCCCTGCACTGAGGGATCACGTGTGTGCCTTTGGGTCAATCACTTCCTCACTCTCAACGTGTTTCCTCACCTGAAAAACTGAACGAGGATATTTGCCCTATCACATGGGGCTGCTGAAATGATTAAATAAGATGATATGGATTAAAAGGATATGGTTTTGGTATATATTGAACAATTATGTGGTTATTTGAGAATGTAATTATTTCCATCCTGTGTCCTATATATGTTTTCTCTTTAAACACATGAATAGGCACTTCAGATCTTAAACTGTCATTGCTGAGTTTGCTGAGTATCCTTGGACATCATTTGTCCAACCCCTCTCTGGACATAGGGGCTATCCAACAGCCACCCTCCTGATGAGCATCAGAGGAGCCTGGTTTTGTGTCCCTAGTCCAGCCTGGGTTTTCTCCTTGAGGTCCGTTCCTGTTTGAATGGACACACTAGTTACCAGGCCTTCACAGGGAAGCAGCATTTCAGAACAGCTGTGGTAACTACCCTCTACCTGCCAAGATCTACAATGTGAAGAGGGAGGAATGTCAACCACTGCTGATGGAATAATTCATCAGTCATACCCTGGAATATTAATTTGCTGATTACTACATGCTGGGTTACAGAGTGGACGGACATTTGATAGGATTTGGCACCAGCTATCTGATGATTTGAACTCTTTTTTGTAAAAAAAAAAAAAAAATTATTTGAAAAGGAGAGAGAGAGAGACAGACACATCTTCCATCCGCTAGTTCACTCTCAAAATGGCCACCACAACCTGGGCTGGGCCAGGCCAAAGCCAGGCCCAAGAACTCCATCCTGGTCTGCCATGCAGGTGGCAAGGGCCCAAATACTTGGTCCATCCTCTGCTGCCTTTGCAGGCACATTAGCAGGAAGCTGTGTTGAAAGCAGAATAGCCAGGACTTGAACCAGTACTCCCATAAGGTATGCTGATGTCCCAAGCAGTAACTTAACCTGCTATGCCACAGTACTGATCCCTGATTTGAGCTTTTGAAGGTGTTCCCTATATGTGTGCCTGTTTCTCTAAGTCAGCCATATGGACGTTGTAAGAAAAGTCCATTGGTGGGGCTGGCGCTATGGCATAGTAGGCTAAGCTTCTGCCTGCAGCGCCAGCATCCCATATGGGTACTGGTTCTTGTCCCAGCTGCTCCTCTTCTGATCCAGCTCTGCTGTGGCCTGGGAAAGCAGAGAAGATGGCTCCACTGCCTGGGCCTCTGCACCCACGTGGGAGAGCCGGAAGAAGCTCCTGGCTTCAGACCAGCTCAGCTCCATTTCAGCTTTCTGGGGAGTGAACCAGCAAAAGGAAGACCTTTCTCTCTGTTTCTCCCTCTCTCTGTCTGTGACTCTGCCTCTCAAATAAATAAATAAAATCCTAAAAAAGAAAAAGTCCACTGGACTTGGTTCCAATTGCCAAATGTTACCGTGGCTGTGTGGAAGGGAGGGTGCCTTAAGGAATGGAGGGCGAAATATGTGAGGACTTCAGAAAGTTCGTGGACAGGTGGAATTAAAAGATAACTTTCTCTTGGTACCAAAAAGCTGAAGTCCATGCACAGTTTGTCCATAATATGCATTTTCCATGAACTTTTTAAAGATCTCTCTCTCTCTTTGGGTTTGAGCTTACACTCTTCCTTCTCAAAGGTGCCCAGAGCTCATCCCAGCTGGGGATGACTTCCACACAGCCCATCAGTGTAATCGGTGCCTCAAGTCCTAAGTGGAGCCACAGGTGAGGTGACTAAAACTCCACTCCAGAGGCTAGCACTGTGGTGCAGCAGACGAGGTGGCCATCAGTAGCGATGCCCACATCCCGTATCAGAGGCCAGTCCAAGCCCTGGCTGCTCCAGTGCATCATTGGGAGGCCGCAGATGGAAGCTCAGTATCTGAGTCCCTGTCACCCACTGGTGATCCAGATGGAGTTCTAGGCTCCCGACTTGGGCCTGGCCCAGCCCTAGCTTTTGCAAGCATTTAGAAAGCGAACCAGAAGGTGAAAGAGCTCTCTCCCTTTTTCTCTTTCACTCTGTCTTTCAAATAAATACATTTATTTTCTTAAAGATTTTATTTATTTGAGAGGTAGAATTGCAAACAGAGAGAGGGAAAGACAAAGAGAAAGGTCTTCCCTCTGCTGGTTCACTCCCCAAATGGCTGCAATGGCCGAAGCTGAGCCAATCCAAAGCCAGGAGCGTCTTCTGGATCTCCCACGGGGGTGCAGGGCCCAAGCACTTGGGCCGCCTTCCACTGCTTTCCCAGGCCATAAGCAGAGAGCTGGATTGGAAGAGGAGCAGCCTGCGCCCATATGGGATGCCAGCACTGCTGGCAGAAGCTTAGCCTACTAGGCCACAGCACCAGCTCCACAAATAAGTAAATTAAAAAAAAAAAAAATTCAATCCTTAGAGCAGTCTCAAGTTGGGACATTGCAGTCACCTGGAGAATTTGAAAATAACAACCATCTGGACCCATCCCCCAGAGATTCTGACTTAGTAGGTCTGAGGCAAGACCTGGTTGTTGGTTTTTGTCTTTTAAACCTTTGGTCTCTCTAATGCGTGACCAAGGTTGAGAACCACTGCTTGGGCTTTGCTGTTAAAAGGTGGGGAGAAAACTTTACTTCGTCTTCAAGGCTGCGCATATTACAGTACCTACTCCTGCCTCGGGCTTGAGGCACCCCTTCCTGATAAACTGGTACAGTGCGTGGTGATTTTTGACTCCGTCAAACAAGACATTCAAACAAGACAGCACCCTTCCTGGCCTTCTAGAGAAATCCCTCTGCCTCGCCCTGACACATTTTCCTCCCTGTTGAAAACCAAGTGACACAATGTCAGAATATCCCCGACACGCCCCCTTTGTTCTGATTGGATTTCTAAATCAGCCATGCATACAGACCCCACTCTTCTGTCACCCAGGGTCTCCGTGACCATGCTATAATCTGCCAAACAAAACAAACACTTTAAATGGCTTCCTAACGGCCAAAAATTTTAAAAAGAAACAACAAAAAAAATTTTAATTGAGTTAATCGCATCATCCCTTAAGTGCTTATAATTTCTCTTGCAAAAAAGTGTACACAAGTGCCCACACCTGCGCTGTGTGAAGGGCCATGTGGATGCAGGCTGTGCACTGGAGGAGCACCGCCGTCCGTCGCCATACTCTGCGGGCTGCCCGGGAGCTGCTGGCCAGGGGCTTCCTTCCGGTGGAGCTGTCTCCCTGAAGCTGCGCAGTGCTGAGGGTTTTGTGCCTGGTTACCATCTTTAGAGCCTTAAGAAATGTTTCCTCTGCCACATATCTCATGCTTTTAGTCAATGTTAATTTATCTAACTTCCATTTTGTTGGATCTCTTTTAATTTACAGGAACTTTATTTGATGATAAAGGAGACAAACATGCCAAAAAAGGAGTGTGTATTTGGGAATGCATTGACAGAATGCACAAGAGGAGCCCCATTTTCTTCAATTATTTATATTCACCAGTGGAAATTGAGGTAGAATAATAAATCATTTGTGCTTCATTTTCTATGAATATATTTTGTTAAATTTTTTCGTAGTTTTATAAGATTTTATTAACATTTGAGCAGGTTTTTCTTATGAATCATTTTATTTATTTGAAAGACAGAGTTAAAGAGAGAAAGAGCTCTTTAATCCTCTGGTTCACTCCCCAAATGGCCGTAACAGCCAGAGCTGAGCCAATTGAAAGCCAGGAACCAGGAGCTCCTTCCGGGTCTCTCATGTGGGTGCAGGGGACCAAGGGCTTGGGCCATCATCTGCTGCTTTCCCAGGTGCATTAGCAGGGAGCTGGATCAAAAATGGAGCAGCTGGGACTTAAACTGGCCCATGTGGGATGGCAGCACTGCAGGCTGGGGCTTTAACCTGCTGTGCCACAGTTGCTGGCCCCTTGAGTAGTTTTTATACCAATAACTGTTTAAAAGTTTGAGACACTGTGGGTTTGAGTTGTGATAGAGACTGTTGACCAGATTCTTGCCATAAAAATCAGGAGCTGGCCTCACAAAACCTAGAAAGGACAAATTCAAGAAAGTCAAAACAAGGCAGCTTTCTCAGGAAGAAAGTACTAACTTGAAATCTCAACAGACGCTCTAAAGTGAGACATACAATACTTTAGAAAAGATTTCCTGCAGTCCCTTCATACCAGGGCAATGGAAGGGCCTCTGTTGGAAGCAGGGATGTTTGGAGCCCAGCCCAAGAAGTATGGCATCTCCCAGGGGCAAGAGTGCTGTGCTGTGCACAGCTCTGCCGTTGGCGCTAGGCTGGATCAGGCGGGTTTGATAAGTGGAGCTACCCTTACTTAGGGGTAGAGAGGCTCCTGTCCTAGGCCTCCTGCATTCACACTCCAGTCTGGGTTTCCTCCACCTGTACCCACTAATGAGATGAGTAGTACCAGAGACAAGGGTGCAGGCTTAGACACACTTCCTCATTTCAGCCATGCTTTGGGCACCTCCAGGATGGCCATCGGCATGTTTCCTCATATCCACCTCCTAATCGAAGTCAAGTCCCCCCAGGCCCAAAGAAGTAGTTGTGTGGCAAGGGGTGGACGGAGTTTGGCTTTGTGGGCTGGGATATACACAAACACTCACGCGAGGCCCTCAGAGGATAGGGTAGAGCTGAGATGGGAGGAGAAGGAGGTTAGGCCAAGGACTAGGAGCTGTGGCCAACTCCCCCACCCAGTGCCACCACTTCCAGTGTAGAAACCTGAGGAAGCCAAGAATTCTCTAGTTGAACCTGGCCTTCCAGGTCATTAGGAGGTCGTAGTTGTCACAGTGGGAAGATGGACCATGTTTTATTTAATAGTGTATTTTAATGTATGATTTGTAAATATTTAGACAAATTGCATTTGAACTTCTAGCCATATCCTTGCCCTTGGTCCTGCAAGCGTTAGCAGCTGACCTTTCAGCAGGCTTGGGGAACTTCGGGGTCAAAATGAAACCATGAAGTATTTCAGAGTTCTCTTTAAACAGGCCCTGAAGCCCAGTGTAAATGTCTCCAGCCTCAAAAAGTGGGATTACTACATAGAGGAGACCCTGTCCACAGGGCCTTCGTATGACTGGGTGATGCTGACCTCCAAACACTGCCCCTCTGAAGACCCCGACCTGCCTGGAGGAGCTGGCCCCCAGAGCCGGAGGAGAACAGTGTGGCCATGCTATGATGACGTCAGCCGCGCCCAGCCCGATGCTCTCACCAGCCTTTTCAGTGTAAGTCACCCACGTGCAGGCCAGCCTGAGACTGGTTTACAAACCTCTGAACACGGCTGTCCTCCCTCTGGGCTCACACAGCCCTCCCAGAGATTGAACAGGGCAGACCAGGCTTACCTACCGGAAGAGAGTCCAAAAACAGTGTCCAGCATTACAGGGAAGCAGTTGGGCAAATGGAGCAATTTACTCCTTCCGGCAGCTTCCCAATTGTTTCAGCTGCGCAAGCAGGCTGAATCAGGCCTGGGCTATGGCTTCTGTGGGTGCTTTACTTCCTCTGCTCAGAAGTGTGGGTAGCTGATGGCCTGATGGGAATATTGCCAGCCGTCTTCTGCAAGGAACATTCTGTAGCAACGCCATGCTGGCAGTGCCGCCCCGAGGAAAGGTTTTATCTGATTGGGGCCGACGGGTCTGGAGAGTTTCCTCCCTCTGGTTTTCTGGCCAGGAAGAGCATGACCACTCTGCCACGGAAGCAGCTGCTCTGACAGACAGAAGGGAAGCCATCTCCTTGGACCTTTTTAGCTTTGCTCTTTCCTTGTCTGGTTGGAGTCATCAGAGCTGAGGGGTTCCTCTGTCAGGGGCATAGTTGTCTTCTGCTACAGCTGTTGGGGTTGGGCTGCAGGCCCAGTGCTTGACCTTTTGCTTTGGCCATGAGATTTCCCCTGGGTTGCCCAAGAGTAAAGGTGTTTAGGATACAGATCTCATCCCTTACTGTTTAAGCCACTTTGCACAAACAGGCCTAATTGTAGGTGCTGTGCCATCATCTTGGCCACAGCACAACACACCACCTAGAGCTCCCACACTCTTCCTGGCGTGGGAGACCTCGGAGGTCCTTGTCTTCCATGTTCTTCAGCTGCCCTCTGGCCGTGGGTGCAGAGCAGAGGAGATGGCTCTGGGCCACACCCTGACCTCTATGAAACATCGGCCCACTGGGAAACTTTTTCATTTCTTCACAGGAAATTGAAAAGTTAGAGCATAAATTGAACCAAACTCCGGAGAAGTGGCAGCAGCTGTGGGAGAAGGTAGCCATGGACCTTAAAGAAGAGCCAAGAGCAGACCGTGTGAGTTGGTGAATCCCCTGCGGAACTTCGTGAGGGCGCGAGGGCCCGCTGCAGGAGGGGTCATGCCCTGGGGTCTCGGGCAGAAGGCTCCAGATGACTGAGTATTTCCTGCCTGTCTCACTTTACCACAGTGACATAATACTCGTGTTTCAGACCCCGAATCCAGAGGAAATTGCTGGGTTCTTTTCCATCTCAGCGCCCCTGTGGTTTCAGCTGATCTACCACAATAGGGAGGAGGGGAAGGCCAAGACCATGTTTGCTCCCGAGAAGTAAGCAAAGGGAGAAAATAGAAGTAGTTAAGATGGTAAAACATGCCACTTTCTGTTGTTCACACTCCCTTTTCTGTTTGAAAGAAACATTTATCATAAAAATATTTTTAAACCAAATACTCTTTTTTGCATCTCTAATCCGATTTCCAACTCCCCATTTCTGAAACATTTCTCTAGCATATAATATGTGCACGGGGCTGTGCTTGAAACTAGCCACACATCACACCCCATCTACCCCACGAGGAGGGAGTGCTGGCCGTGTCACACGCGAGGGGCCCAGCACTGAGGGCACAGCCACCATTCAAACCCAAGTCTTACTGGCTCCAGATGCAACAGAGGGAAACTTCACACAGAGTGTTCTGGGGAGAGTCTCAGGAAGACAGGGAGGTCAGTGGAGTCGGGTGTCACAGCGCAGGCAGGAAGAGCGGAGAGGACCACACGAGGGCCCTCCTGGGCTGTCTGGTGCCTCACCTGGCACTTCAAGAGCTGTCACCCACAGGCCATGGGCGGGGGCACTGGAAGGCGTTCTTCCCTCAGAGGGGAAAATCACTTCTGGAGTTCTTTCTGATTATGGAAGTAGGATATATTTTTGAATAGGATAATAAGCAAGAAGTTATTAAAAAGATTAAAGTCACCCACAGTTTATAATCTAGAAACATCCTCTGTGCCACGAAACTTGTGTCACTGTTGTGAACCCACATGCGAGAGAGATCTGTGGACAGGCTGCTCATGCCTGCTCTCCTGCTCTCCGCTCCACCTGTCGCTGTGCGAAGGTCAGCACATCGTTTGGAGACTCCTGGAGTTCCTCTGTGGAAACACCGCAATGTTTTTAACCAGTCCCCTGCTGGTGGACATTCAGGTTTCCAGGTTTCCGCAGCTGCAGGATATGTATCTTTGTTATTCAGTCTTTCCCCCGAGACTAAGTTTTACAGGGAAATCATCGGTCAGCTGCCTACAGGCTCTGTAAAGCTTCCCTGGTCCTTGTCGTTTTCAGTCCCAGAGACACCCCTCGGGGTCCCCAGGAATCGTGTCTGCCAACCTCCCTTCCTATCACAAGAGGTCTCTGCTGCAGCTGGCAGACAGCAGCGTTGCGGAGGAGCAGAGCGCCAGCCTCGCCCCCTCCAACGGAGTGGAGCGGAGAGCAGCCACGCTCTACAGCCAGTACACGTCTCGGGCCGATGAGAACAGGTAACGTGCCCCACGCTGCCCAGGGCCACCCCAGGCCCGCAATGACTGGGGCTCAGCAGGACAGCCCTCTGTAACTTGAAATAGCTTTGCCTCCATTTCTTTTTTTATTTTTTTAAGGCTTTACATTGTTCTTTGAAAAAGAGAAACCAAAATTACAACTAAAAATAAGACCAAGAAGTTATAGTTATTTGTGGTTGAGTCCTGATTATCTCATGTCTGCCAGAGATTCCAAGGAGCTACGCGTTAGTCAGCAGTTTTGCAGTGGCCAGGAGCACAAATCCAGCTCATGCTAGCTGAAGCAGAAGGAATTGGCACACATAGATGGGCCAACCAAGCTCGCTGGTTTCAGGCTCTCTTTCCAAGCTCTGTTTGCCTTTGTGCTGCATCAGACCCAATATAGCACAAGAAATGGCCCGCCGAGGGACATGCGTTGTGGCACAGCAAGTTGAGCCACTGCAGGACATAGCATCCTGTATCTCAGGTGTCTGGTTCAAGTCCCAGCTGTCCCACTTTGGATCTCCCTTCCTGGTGGTTCCCCTGGGAGGCAGCAGAAAATGGCCCAAGTGCTTGGGCCCCTGCCACCCATGGGGAGAGCTGGGTGGAGTTCCTGGCTCCTGGCTTCAGTTTGGCCCAGCTTTGGCAACATGTTGCAGGCATTTGGAGAATGAACCAGCAGATGGAAGAAACCTCTCTTTCTCCCTCTGCCTTTCAAGTAGATAAATTTAAATGGTTACTGATAGTTCAGACCTTACAGGATCTAGCAATCCCTGCAGAAAAAGCCATTATTTCCCCCCAAATTCTACAGAAATTCCAGGGAATACTCTGATTGGGTTTTGGTGGGGCTGGGGAGAGGGCAGGGGGCCCATCACAGGGAAAGACTGGGCAGACACAAGCAGGTGTTCCCTTGACAGCAGTGTCTGGCTGGAAAATCCAGGCTAACCGCTGCGTCCTTTCTTCCAGGTCCTTTGAGGGAACGCTTTACAAGAGAGGGGCTTTGCTGAAAGGGTGGAAGCCCCGCTGGTTTGTTTTGGATGTAACGAAACATCAGGTAATATCGTTTAAGTCAAAAGAAGCTGCTTTCTAGGTAGTGTCAGTCCCTGTTGTTGTGTGGCTCTCAACAGACACACGCATTCTGAGGGCCGCTCATATGTGGCCTGGGGCTCCACCAGGTTCCCGGTTGCCCCTTGGCAAGGGCAGCAGCCTCTGTGACACACAGAGGCAGAGGCCATGACAGTGGAGCCCAGAGCATTCGGAGCAATGGAACTCTTTTCAATGATGCTCATCTGTCTCCTTTTGCCTGTTCTTCAAGCCCAGGGCAGGAAGCACTGGTTTTCAGGCTGTGCAGGCATTCCCCATGCACACGCAAGCCCAGGGCTGTGAAGACAGGCTCCCCTAGGCCTTGCCACACAAAGCCTCCATTCAGAACGGAGGGCACGCTGTCACCCAGAGCTACTGCCCACCACCTGTGTGTGCCTGCCAAGGGTACTGCCACCTCTCAGACGAGCCCCAAAGCAGGCAGCAGGGGATGGGCCCATGCAAACCTAGGCTTTGCAGTGGCAGTCCAGACCGGACCTTGCTGAGCGCGTCAGGAAATCTTGTGCCCACAGTTAGCTGCTTAGCTCCTGCGACAGCAGCCGCCACTCTCCTTAGCATCGTACTTATTGTTCCAGTGATCTCAGGGGAGCATGGTTCCTGCCCAGACCCCCTGCCTGTCTGCACCAGGGGGCATCATGTGGCCTCTAGCGCCTTCATTGTGCCCAGGAACTGAGCAGGCAGCCCGAGGGCTACACATTGTGGCTCTCCACGCATTCACTGCCAAGCACAGCCTGTGGAAAAGACTGGAGCCAGGACCGTGTGTGCTGCCCTGGCAGGACCCACAGCAGAAGACCCTGCCCAGGGGAGCCTATACAGGCAGCCACCTTTTCCTCGGCTCTAGAGCTTCACAGAGGTCACAGAGAGTCTGTGCAAGAACGCAGGGAAGTTACTCTCAAATGGACGAGCGGAGGCCTCTCAGCGGGCTCACTGTCGAGTAGCGATGCCTCTGAGAGCACAGAGCCTGCACTGTGCAGCCGAGTCCCATCCGGCCCCTGGAGACGACGCGGGACGCCGGCCGACTGCTCTGCACTTAAGTCATACCCAGTTATACTGCGTTCCTACCGACCTCCCAGACTTTAACATAGAAAGTGCAGCTTTTCCACTTGGCCCCACTTGGCCGTGCCTTGGAGGAGACGGGGAAGTCAGGCGCGCTGCAGACAGGGCCCAGCGAGGCTTTGCACCAGCGTCTAACTTTACTTTTGAAATAAGAAAAAAATAAAAAAAAAAGTTTAATGTGTTTATTATACCGAAATCAAACGTTTCATAAAAGTCTAAAATTCTGTGCAGTCAGATGTTCTTCAAAAATCATCTCCTGTCTACGTGCTGTTTGGCAGCTTGCCTTTTAAAGTCATAGAAGTTTTCCTACCTGTTCATAGAGAGAGCGTCCCTGTTCGCTTCAACAGCTGGATACTATTCCCTTTGACCCACGTTCTGCGACTGAACTCAGTGTTGCCTCTAGAAACAAACCTGGCCTTCCCCAGTACTGAGCTGAGGGAAGCAGACGCAGAGGAAACCCTGGGCACACGCCTTTGTGAGCCGGGAGTGCTTCCCCGGGCGGCCTCCTGCAAGAGGCGCGGGTACTCTGCAGTCTAGCCCGGAGTTGCGAGTTGTCCTCCAAGAACAGTCTAACAGATCACATCCCACCAGCAGTCTTTGAGCATCCCTGAAGCCTTCCTGGAACCATCAGCCATTTTTAATAGTTCTCCATCTGAATGAGAAGTGACATCTCATTGATTTCCTGTGCTTTTCTTTGATCACTGAGGTTGGTCATCTCCTCAGATGTGTACAGATCATTTGTATTCTGTAGTTTGCTGTGGTGATCCTTTTTCCACTTGGTTTTTTATTTTCTTTTCCATTTTTAGGAATTTTCTATATATGCTAAACATTAACTCCTTTTTATACGTTACACATTTTTACAGTCATTGGGCTTATTTTAATGTGTATTTATTTATCCAAACTGGAAAAAGCACCTGATACTTTTCCCAACTCCTTTCTCCCATTACCTAGTTCTCTTCCTAAAGGCAACCAGTATTACCAATTATTTGTGTTTCTCCAGGCATAGTTTAGCATATAAGCAACATGCAGGGGGAATACGCACTAGTGTCAGGACTCTCACCTTTTCCCTGTGTCCTCTTCCTCCCCTGCCCTCCTGCTCTGCAGCTGCGATACTATGACTCCCGTGAGGACACAAGCTGTAGGGGTCACATCGATCTGGCTGAAGTGGAAGTGGTCATGCCTGCTTGTCCCAGCATGGGAGCCCCAAAGCACACGAGTGACAAGGCTTTCTTTGATGTAAGTTGATCCGACCTCTTCTCCCGGTTCTGCCGGCACGCAAGTACACCCGCCTCCAGGAAGTACAGGGCCCTCAGAGTAAGTGGAGGTGACGTCAGGCAGATGGGCCACAGGCCCGTGCTGTGCAGTCAGCTGCAGTCTTGATCCTCAGCCCTGAAAGCGCTTGGCCCTCTCAGAAAAATCACAGACGCTGATGAGCTCGTGAGTAAATGTTATTTCGGTGACCACGTAGGCTCAAGAACGGAGGCGCCTTCGTGCCCTACAGGGGCCTCCACGCTCACGTGGGCTCACTGCCTGCCCTGAGTCTTCAGCAGCCCCCAGCAGAGCGGTGTGTGAGCCTCATGATGGGAAGAGGCTTTTCTCGTCCCTGAGCTCAAGCAGGACCTCAGGAAGAGCAAAAGTCATGTTGCAGGGCCCTGCTCGGGCCACGAGGCCGTCCCTCCCTCTCTCTCGGGGCTCTCCGTGTGGCCCTCGCGGAAGAACCAGCTCCCCGGGGTGGGCGAGTCCCCGGGCTCCCCTGGCACAGGGCTTGCTCCCCTTTGTTGCTTTGGTGCAGCGCGTGGGAGAGGCCGGAGCCTCAGGCACTCCTGACCTCTGTCATCAGAGAAGGCCCCAAGGAAGGCTTTTCCAGAGTGTCGCCTTCCTCCGCGAGGAACGAGACAAGCGACCACAAGTACAGTGGCTGGGAGGAGAGGCACGAGGGCCGAGGGTAGTGTGGACCAGTAGGCTGGCCGCAGTGAGTGGCCACTTGCCCAGCGCCATAAAGCCGCCCTGACCTTCATCCCTGCTCTCTCTCGCTTGGTGTTGTAGCTCAAGACCAGCAAGCGTGTGTATAACTTCTGTGCCCAGGACGGACAGAGTGCCCAGCAGTGGATGGACAGGATCCAGAGCTGCATCTCTGACGCGTGACGCCATGGTCAGCCCAAGCAGAAGAGGCGGAGGCTCCCACAGCGCCAGAGTCCTGAGGAGCTGGCAGCAAGTCACCCAGGCGAGGCGCTCGGCCCAGCCCTGCCCGGGCCCCCGGGCTCTGCTCAAGAGTCCCAGGCCTCTGCAGGGTCTTGCACTAATCTGTCCTAGCAGGTCTCGGTGGTTAGGGAGCAGAAGAACGAGCCAGCGCTCGTCCTTCCCTGGGCAGAATGGCTGCCGCTTGCCTGGGACCTCGGGCGTGGAAGCTACGTCCAGGGCCGTGGTTTCCTTGGAGAGCTTTGTAACGAGCCAAAACCAAAACTCTCTGAGACCATCTTCTCCAGGAACAGGCTTGCACTGGAGGTGCCTGTCCCAGGCTGACCTTGGAGACCTCCGCGCTCTGCTGCTGACTGAAGGCGCTTCCGTGGTCCCTGCAAGAGACGTTGCTGCTCAGCGGCCAGCAGAGGGGGCCGCACGGGACGGTCCCGCGGGGCACACTGCCCAGGGCGTGGGGCGGCGAGGACGAGGCCAGCGCAGGGCGCAGCTGCTCCCCGCACTGGGAGCGCAGGTTCGCTATCCTGTGGTGCTCTGAGACCTGCACCCGGACAGCTCCTTACACAGCAGCGCGCACTAACCCACAGCACGAGCCCTCGTGCTGACTCCCACGGACGTGGACTTGTGGAAGGGACAGAGCCTCCCACACCTGTGACAAGGGCTGGCTGGGCCACGGTGGCACGACTGGGCCGCCAGACACGAGAGCACATGAGTCCTAAGAACTGCTTTTAGATTTTCTTTACTTCTGAGAGCCTGTGTTTGTTCAGCTTAAAATCCCAGGAATGCTGTTTGCTCACAGTCAACAGAAACAGCCTCTGGCGCCAGCTGGAGGCCTGGGAGCCAGAGCCCTGCATTCCTGTTCTAATGTTAATATGTTAGATTCCCAACTAATGCTTCCAGACTGTGTACAGATTTCTAGGCCCATTTTCAGAAAGCCTGCTTGTAATTTAATATACAGTTAACCAGACTGATTCATTCATAAGATTTCAGTAATGAGACTGTTCCCTTTTTTAAAAAAAAGCTACTTTGCTTTTGTAGATTAAAAATAAATCAGATTTTCAAATGTAAAATTGTCTACACACTAGGAAATAGAACTGTGTTAATATATAAGGAATTGGGAGATAAGACGAATGAAGGACTTTTCTATCATTTTTGTTTTATAAATTGCCACCTGTGGAAGAGGTTTTTGCACATTATTTGTATTTTTCTTTGTATATTAAATAATTTTTTGTACTTTGTAAAATATGGATCCCAATACACCTTCCGCTGTTTGAGACCATATACAGCTGCTTTTGTAACTGGTTTCTTTAAGCTCTCATGAAGGCCTCACACGCCTTAGAGTCACTAACCACCTGGGATTAAACTTATTTCTTAAGAAAAAAAAAAGTATCCCTTGTTTACTTTGACATTCTGTTCACTGTGCAGTGCGCGGCACTTGGGGGGAGGTAACGGCCGGGACTCACACACGGGGCCAGAGGTTCAAGGAGGAGACAAAGCGGGGCTCGCTCGCGCCTCGCTTCCATGACACTCATCCTCGCCTTTGCTAAGGAAGCAGCTGCAGAGACTGCACGCGCTGCCCGCCCACCCCCCAGAGCCTCGCTGGGAGACCGGGCCGTGGTCTGCGCTCCCACCACCGCCTCTGATAAGCTGTGTGAGTGAGTCCTTCAGCTCACCCGGGTCACAGCCTTACCACCTGCGTAGGGCACCTCAGAAAGCTCACGGAAAGACAGGACTAAAAGGAAAACTGACTTGGATACAAGATGATTTTGAAACCCATGCATAGTTTTTGCTGATACACATTTCCTGTGAACTTTTTGAAGTCACCTTTTGCATGGATTTCAAAAAAGTTGTGCACCAAAGTAAAACATCTTTTAGTTCCATTTCTCACAAATTTTCTGAAATACCCTCATATGTGCCAATTAGGGAAAATGGTAGGCACTGAATATTGAAGTCTTGATGGGCAGCAGGTTGTTCTACTTCAGAGGATTGTTGAATGTCACAAATGAACAAGCCACTCTTTCTGGCTTGGACAGAACCTGAGTCCTCTGGGCCCTGTCTCAGGGCTGAACCTGAGTCCTCTGGGCCCCTCTGACATCCAGGATTCCATTCTGAGCCAAGTGAGGGGGCACCCGAGAGCCACAGAGACCCAGAGTGAGGCTGTGATGCCCCCTCCTTGAGCCCACAAGTTCCCGCCACCCTGAGGGCACACGTGGCCCCTGCCTTGCCCCAGCCCTTCATGGCGCTCCCCAGTCTGTGCTGTTCTGTCCTCAAGACTCAGGAGGGAAACATGTCCACAGTGTCACCCCGTGTTCCTGCTGAGAACCCAGTGCACACCTGACACTTGGGGCGCATCTCGGTGAGGCCTCACGTGCTGCCCTTGTTCGGATGCCACCTGCAACGTGCCAGGCCCACGTGGTTTCTCCAGGAAGCCGATGCCTGCACGCCACAGTCAGTGGCAACATGGCCCATCACAAGTCCTGAGGGCCCCCAGCTCTTCTGAGCAACCAGCTGTCAACGTGGGTCTTCCCACAACTTTCTTGTTGGGGTCAGGACTTCACAGAACTCAGCGAAACACTTCCCTCACTTCGTCCATGAATTCTAAGGGGGTCCACACACATCAGCCCAGTGAAAGAGCCACACGCCCTCTTCCTAACACCCTGATGCCGTCAGGCCCCCTGGTGCCACAGGTATCAAGGAGGAGTCATCCTCACCCTCCTGAGAGCTCAGGGTGCAGCTGATCTCCCTGGCCTCCATCCTGAACCTCCAGATTAGCACAGACTCCCAGGCATGCACTCCTGTCCCTCAGGAAATTCCAAGAGTTTTAGGAGCTGTATGCCAGAACCCAGGACCTAATAGATTTCTCTTTTTTTACTACACCACAACTAGCTGTATTTTCACTGCTACCATGCCAGCCCCTCTGGATTTAAGAGCAAGTAGCCTGCTCACGGCAGAGGCTGTGGTGTACAAGCTGCAGGCGAGTGACCTGGGTTCTAGTGCCACCTCTTGTCCCAGTCCTCCAGTCCACTGGGCTTTGACCTCCGCAGTGGAGGACCCAGATGGTCCCCCACTGTTTGCAATTCCAAACATTTGTCTTGACAAGGACTCGGGTTGCAAACTGGGAGCTAAAGATCTGGGTCAGCGCATCTCAAAAGCAACGCACGTGTGAATCATCCGCTAAAGCGAGACTAGATGCAGTGGGCCTGGCTGCACTTGACCGTGTGGTTCCAGGAGCACAGGTGTGGCATCGCTGCTGGTGCTGGGCGGCACACCCAGAGTGACGCATATGCTAGAGCCAGCCCTGTAAGGTGCTGATGGGAAGGAAAGGGGGTGGGAGGTGCCAGAAAAGCAAGAGACCTGAGGCAGGCGCGAGCCTTGGGAACGGGGAAGGAGGCAGACTGAGGCTCTGCTCCAAGGACATCCCCCTCCCCCGCTTGCCACCCCTCAGACCTCTGCTGGGGCAGCCCACCGGGAACACAGGGTTAGCGCAGACTCAGGGACAGATTCCAGCCCACAGGCAGTCACAGACCTTGCGGCGGGAGATCTGGGTCACGTCTTCCCTGGTGTCCCACAGACCAGGACGCAGGTGCTCGCTGTTTCCCTGGGGCCTCTCTTCCTAGGAGAAATGCAGGAGTGGTGGCGGGTGGAGGGCTCCCTCCAGCCTGTCCCTGATGCCTGTGCACGGCCCTCACCCTCAGCTACCTCGGCACATGGACATGGCTTGCCTGCAGGGACACTGCATGCTGGGAGTGTAGCCAAGCCCTTCTCAGGTCAGGCTGTGCACACGTCCTGCCACAGCCCCAGTGGAGCTTCCTGGAGGTGCCCAGGGGAGACCTCACGCCTTCCTCCTGACCACGGTGTGCAGACAAGCCTTGCCACCCCCTGTCCACCAGCAGTGCCATGACGGTGTCCCCTCCTCCTGTCTGCTGATCAATGGTACAAGAAACCCTGTCACCCTTGGTGGTAGCAGTAAACCATCACTCAGCGGGCCCCTTGCCACGCGGGGTCTCTGGGCGTGCGCTGTGCTATGTGACCTTGGGGCCCTGAGCTCTGACCAGGAAGGCAAACCCGTGCCCACAGGAAGGCTCCACCCCTACGAGACGAGCCACTGGCCCTTCCAATGCCATCATGTGCCCCGGTGGAGTGGGCTCCTCAAGGGACGGAGGCCTAGCAGGGGCTCCGCACTGGCCTCTCCTGCCAGCCTGGTGGACACTCATCAGCGCCAGGGGCGGGGGGGGGACTCTGCTCTAGGGCCCACGGTGAGTCCACACCTGGCTCTGGCTCTGCCTCCGCACGGTGGCCACACCACTCGCACCCACCCTAGCTCCAGGGTGGCCGGTGATAAGGACTGGCTCATGTCAAATGTGCGAGTCATTTTCTTCTGCTCACCCACCACCTCCCCTGTTGAATGCTTTCTGACAACACTAATGCAAGGGACAGCAATCCACGGGCAGCCACGTACCTCCACCCCCACACACACCTACCGGCCTCTGGCTCCCGGGCCCTCTCCTCCCAGGCCCCTGCCCAGGAATGTGAGTTTTCTCACCACCTCGGGCTATGGTTTCCTATGCATGGAACAGATGACCAGGCTGTCTTCGCACGGCTATACCCACCGGGACGCTCTCCCCTGCCCCCAGCCTGTCCGCCCCCAGCTTGTGCACAGGCACCAGGTCCGCCCACCCCCTGCCTCGCATGCAGCTGGCCGTGCAGCACCCTCCATGTGACCACAGGGACGAGCCGGGGCGGTTCGGGCTCCATTCCCGACTCAGCTGTCCCGACTGCCAGCCCGTGTGATGTTAAGATGCGACATGGCCACTAGGAGTTCCACAGTGAGAGTTCCGGCTCTACGGGGGCCCAGTCCACCCCGGGACTGTTCTCCAAAGTGTAGAACCCTCTGTGGCTGGCAGCTGGCTGCTCGCACCGGGACTTGCCTCGTGGCTGTCAGCCACCCAGTCTGACCCGACCCGCAGGGCCTCTGGCACCAGGGCCTGGGCCTGCAGCCGGTAGCGCACATGACGCCTGCAGAGAAGCAGGAAGCCGCGGTCCCTCGGACTCAGGAGGGGCATTCCCCTTGCAGGTCCGGAGACCTCCGCCATCAGCGCAGCCACACTCAGGGCGTCGTGTGAACATCCTGCAGACCTGAGCCACTTCCTGCTCTTGCTGTGTTATGGTCCTTGTGGCATCCCGTAGGGTGTCCGGCTGGCCTCGTCTCAGGATTTTATTATTACAACAGAGGACGTGTGAACAAGGGCCCAAGGCAAAGCTGTCCTCGAGTGCTGTCCTGGCCATGTGAGTGACATCTGCTTCTCATGGCTTCTCTAATCAGGGTGGAAATGCACGTTGGCCGCAAGGCCTTGCTCTGAGTGAGCCAGGAGCCCATGTCTAGACAGCAGCCAGAGCAAAGCAGGGCGCCCCTGGGGCCAGCCCGAGGTGGGCTCCGCTCTCGCCAGAGTTTGATGGGGAAGGGATGGGGCCCCTCCTACCTAATCCCACCCCCCCCTGTCCTCCTCTGGGTTGTTAGTGGCGGCCCCTGCCTCCATGCCAGCCCCGCGAGCAGGAGACGCGGCGTGGATCCGGGTGCAGTCCGTTCGAAGTGACCATGGAATGACCTGGTAGGTCTGTGGACCAAGCGAGTCTGCCAGGAGCCACTCCAGCCAAGATGGGGCTCATTCCCTGGCCCCTGCTTTGAGCTCGGGGGAGGGGGTCACCTTGATCAAGTGCTCCCGGGAGGCCCGGCTCAGGCTCAGCACTCACCAGACCATCCTCCCCAGTCAGCTTTCTCCTGGAGCTCAGCCCAGGGCCTCTGCTGCCCCGCCCATCACAGCTGTCCCCTGGGCCAGCGCCCTCCAGGGGTCCACCAGCTGTGTCCCACTCAAGTCTCAAAGTCCCAGGTTTGGCCTGCCAGGCCCTGGCGCTCACAAATCTACCGTGGCCGAGTACTCGGCAGCTCTGCAGCTGTTACTAACGTTTTCAGCCTGCTTGCCAGCTCCCCCTCTGTAGCCCCCACCGAGGCTCCAGGGTGCCCCCAGCAGTGCCCCGCACCAGCCCTCCACAGGGCACCAACACAGCCCACGCACCTGTTCTCGGAGGCGCTGTCCCCTTCCGTGCATCAAGTGCACACCTGCCGCGGCAGCTCCCGCCCCCCAGACTGCGCCAGATTCCCCTTCGCCACCCTCTGCGGTCCAAGCCTGTGTCCCTGTGCCCACCCACAGCCAGGAGTCATCTGCCGCGGCCCTCTCTTGGTGAGGCCAGCTCCCACGCCCACCTTAGCATGGCCTCCCCTGCCACTCGTGTTCTCCCGGCAGCACCGGGGCAGGGGCAGGGGCACCTGTCAGGGACACAGGACAGGGAGGCCGGGAGATGGTGACCCCTTGGGCAGCAGCACGGAG